CGAGCGCCACCGTTTGACCTTCAGCATTCTGGGCAGCGTGGACCCCAGCAGCATGCGCCTGTTCCGCATCGACCCCAACACCGGGACCATCTACACCGCGCGCCGCCTCGACCACGAGAGCCGCAACCAGCACGTCCTCTCCGTCATGGTAACCACTACAGCCGCTATAACACATACACCTGCTCTGATATGGCAACCGTTACAGCCTCAGTACTATATACTTAATACGGTACAGTAAAACAGAAATCCTCCGTTGCCGTGGTAACTGTTGCATTACGGCAAAGAAAAAAACACTCTCTCTTGACATCACAGTATCTGCTACACTGCCCTCCTCGCCTTAGTAACAGATCATGCATCGTCATGGTAACTGCAACAATCTCAGCGCCATAGTAGCACATCCCTTGCATTGTCATGGCAACCATTACAGTCTTGATATTGTATTAAACACCAAGTTGTCCCTCATCGTCACGGTAACTTTGGTATTACAGCTTCAATTAATTAATAACAGACAGCCCAGCATCGTCATGGTAACCGCTACAGTCTCGCCACCAGCATTGTCATGGTAACTTCTGTGTCCTTGTTGCCAAAGCATCACATAAGCAATAATACAGTAACAGATGGAGTCACATCGTCATGGTAATCTCTACGGTGTCAACGCCATCAGGAAAAATACCCCTGTGTTGTCACAGCAACCATTATAGTCTCAGTACTACACTAACAAAAACAGTGTCCTTTATCGTCATGGTAACTGTGGCATCACAGTCTTGTCGTATGGTGACACCTACATCTGCATGGTGACCTCTACAGGCTTAGCTGCAATAGTAGCTAATACTGTACACTTGCGTTGTCAAGGCAACCATTACAGTGTCCATGATGCTCTCCATCTACTTCACAGCTGCACTGTAGCCTCGGTGATGTGGTGTGGTAACCACATCAGTCTCAGAGTAACACATACACCTACGTTGTCACGGCAACCATTAGAGAATCGAAACTGTAAGAACAATGAGGCTCTGCCTCATTGCCATGGCAACCGCTGCACTACAGCCTAGAGACATGCTAGCATTGCCATGGTTACCTCCAGCAGTCCATCAAGGCATTCCATCCACCTGTGATCGCTACCTTAATTACAGCGCAGGTGTGTCCAGGTGAGCGTCAAACAGGTGCCACACCTGAGACGAGTTACCGCAGCAGATGACGCCGGTGCTGTTTGTTTTTTTGGAAAGGATTGAGGCCCTTCGTCACTCCTGGGTCTGATACAGTGGAGCCGTTTTGTAGCAGACTGTACTGCAGGATCTTTGTGGGATTGCAGTACAGAAGCTTATAAACCCTCCCAAAGATGAGAACAGGCTGCGGTGGAGGATTAGCCGTGATACGCCTGCAAACACCGGCGCACTCTGAGCCAACTGTGAGCGAGAGAAGCCCACCGAAACGTTTCGTTTTCTGGGGCTTGACCCCTGACTCCACCTCCATCAGCACCCTCAGTAAAGATGGCTTAAAAAAGTCGCAAAAAATGTGAAAAACCATTTCATTCATTTAATAGAAGTAATTTTAGTCACAGCAAAACTGAAGCCCTGCATGTTAACTAGCTTTACCAAGGGTGCCATTAATTATGGAGATGACTTTATATGAGCTTCTATTTTTGAAGTTTGCAAAATCTTTTACTACAGCTCAGCACTGAAAGTAAACAATAATAATAATAATAATAATAATAATAATAATACGTTATTTATGTATCAACCTTAATACATTTTTATTACACATCAGTGGTCACTTCACTGGCCTTTCCATCGTCCCTGTAGAGCTCATTCCTGATTACAGTCTGACCCGTAGTTTATCCTTCATGCCAAATATAGTCGGTCAACCAAGGCATGTTTGGCTGATTTTATATAGTGTATAAAAGATTTTTTATTACTTAATAATATTAATAATACTAGTAACAATAATAATAATAATGATAAACCTTATTTATGTAGCAACTTTCATAAATTTAAATGGTACTGCAAAGGACTGTACAAGAAGAAATACATTTGAAAAACAGCAAAATATACAAAGAGAAAATAGAGGAAAATAAAAACATTAAATAATAAAAAGTAGTAAAGCTTCTATAATAATGAGTGACAATAAATAAAATAAACCAAATATTTATACAGAAAATTATGTATATAATATATATGTATATATATATATATATATATATATATGTGTATATATATATATATATATATATATATATATACATATATATATATACACACACAATTGTGTATATATAATTTTGTTTTCTGTATAAATATAACATTTACATATTTATATTTTTAGAAATGTATATATACATATATTAATATTAAAATGTTATATTTGTACAGAATTTTTTTTTATTATTTTATATATATATAATTCTTTTGTTCTTTAAATATAAAATCCTGGAGTCAGGCAGGACTGTAAAATATTTTTTTAAATTGCTGACTGAGAATGCTTATGCTTGTAAGTTACACTGCCCTCAAACATACAGTAGCCTTCAGCTGGACACTGGCCTGCATCTGGACACTGTCCTGCAGCGGGAGCTGATTCGCGCTTCAATATATGAGCCGCATCATAAAGCCAGACGGGAGGTTTGTGAGGTCAGCTGTTCATATTTCAGTCGTATATTACAGAGAAACGATGATTATAAAGTTTGGTGATGAAAGACGGGCTCTGCTGTGGGTTCAGCTGAGTTAAATCTGGAAACAGCTCCTCTCTCGTTTTTCTCTCTCTGTCGCTCTTTTATCTCCTCTCTGTCTGCCTGTGTTTCTCTGCCTCCTTCTTTCCATTCTTCACCTGTCCTCCTCTCTCTCTCTCTGTCTCCCTCTCTCTGTCTCTCTCTGGTTGAGAGCCGGTCTGATGGGAGATGCTGATTGGTCGACGCGGTGCGTGCGCTCTGGCAGGCGGCTCGTGTTTTAATGTCATCTCCACCTGTTTCCCAGCTCTGCAATCTAATTATCGATCTGATCACACTCACTCTCTGTTTCAGCGCTCCCCTGATGAGACACACACTCGTCTGTGAGTGTGTGTGTGTGTGTGTGTGTGTGTGTGTGTGTGTGTGTTTGTCTAATAAGTGCTCAGATATTCCAGCAGCCACAAACCAGAGCAGACGTGTTATTGTGATCCACTGAGAGATGATATCTGCTCTGTCTGCCAGAGATTTGTGTGTGTGTTTGTTTGTATGTGTGTGTGTGTGTGTGTGTGTGTGTGTGTGTGTATGTGTGTGTGTGTGTGTGTGTGTGTGTGTTCGTTCTTCTGCTATCTCATTCACACAGTAAAATGCACTTTTTCTATTCCTCTCTCTCTCTTTACCTCTTTATTCTACATTCTCTTCTCATTGTTCTTCTTTCTCTCTCTCTCTTCTCTTTCTTTTCTCTTCCTCAATATCTGTCTCGCCTCTCTCTCTTGTTCTCTGTCTCTCTCTCTTGACTTTATCTCATTCTCTTTCCCTTGTTCCCTCTTTCTTGCTCTTTTTTTCACCCCCCTTTCTTCCCCCTTTTCTCTCTCTCTCTCTCTCTCTCTCTCTCTATCTCTCTCTATCTTTTCATATATCTGTCTCTCTATTTGTCTCTTTCTCATGTGTCTTATTTCTTCTCTCTTTCTTTTTCTGTCTCTTTTCTTTCTCTCTCTCTTTGTCTATCTGTCTCTTTCCCTCATTCCCTCTTGCTTCCTCTCTTTCTCATTCTTTCTCTCTTTCCCTTTTCTTTCTCTCTCTCCCTCTCTCCCTCTCACTCTCTCTCTCTACTTCCCTTGTTCCTTCTTTCTTCCTATGTTTCTCATTCCCTCGCTCTTCCTCACTCCTTTCTTTCTCTTTCTCTCTCTCTTTTCATGTATGTGCCTCTCTCCTCTCTCTGTTTCTGTTTGTCACTTTCTCTTGTTCTCTTTCTCTTTTTCTTGTTCCCTCTCTCTCTCTCTCTCTCTCTCTCTCTCTCTCTCTTCTTTTTCTGTCTGGTTTCTTTCTCTCTTGCTCTGTCTGTCTTTCATCCTCTTTCGTTCTCTCTATCTTATTCCTTTTCTCTTCCCCTTTTCTCTTCCCCTTTTCTCTCTCTGTCTCTTTCTCTCTCTCTCTCTCTCTCTCTCTCTCTCTCTCTCTCTCTCTCTCTCTCTCTCCCAGGTGAAAGATCAGGAGTTCCCGTACAGGCGGAGTCTGGCCCGTGTGCTGATTGGTGTAGAGGATGTGAATGACCACGCCCCCCAGTTCACCATGCCGATGTATGACGGACAGGTGTACGAGTCTGCGGCTCTGGGCTCTGCCGCCCTCACAGTGACGGCGCTGGACAAAGACAAAGGCCAGAATGCTCAGATCAGCTACAGCATAGACTCGGGTAAACACACACACACACTAGCTTGTATTCCTGTCTTTGTGGGGCCTTTAGAGATAAACTCGTACACATGATGTTCTGTGTATTGTTTTATTAAAGTTTACATCTAACAGCTCTGACTTGCTCCAGTGTTAGCATTAGCATTAGCTCATCTGAAGGGGCAGCTTTCATCAATAATGAAAACCTGCTGCTTCAGTGTTGAGTGAATAAAGGGTTTCCCTGGTTATGGACGCCACCAGTTAGCATGAGCTGAAAGTTTGATGGATGTAGCAATAGTAACTTTTTTAATTTTGCAAATGGTCAATTATGATCTTTATAGACACCCAACCATGGATGGCTGTGGCATCACCGGTCATCTCCTGAGGAAATGTGCAGCCCTTAGATGGTGGCACCACTCAGGGCCCCTTTTCTTTATCTAATAAAATCTACAGTTTTCAGAGAAAAAAACATCCCAACAATGTCAAAATGTTCATGAATTCATGTTAATCATTCTGGAGAGGTCCTCATAAATATACAAATACAAATAATAGAGGAGGACCATGCCTCAGACTCATCCTAACGTCCTCTGAAATGTCCATCTCAGTCTTTCGTTTCCTGTGAAACCCCCCATCTTGTCCCTGATCCTCATCCCATTCTCACAGTCCCATCTCTGTTCATCAAGCAGAGGTCCAGCCTTCTAGCTTAATGCAGAAGCCACCCAGGACTCCATCCCAGGGTCTCTCTTCTAGTCTTGTAATCTCGCCTCCCATTGCAACCATATGTTGAAGCCGTTTGAATTCGCAAAATTAAACAGCTTACACATGAATACGTTCCATTATTTTTCACTTATTGTCCACATTTGCATTTTTGCTGACAATACCTGTGTCTTACTGTCTCATAGGAAACACTGGGAGCACATTTCGGATTGATCCTGTTTTGGGAATAATCTCTGTGGCCCGAGAATTGGATTTGTCCACTATTGGTCATTACGTATTAACAGTCAAAGCCATGGATAACGGCTCTCCAGCTTTGTCTGCCACTGCCGCAGTCCGCATTGCAGTAACCCTCTCAGACAACGCACCCCCCAAATTCCCTCAAAGCGAATACCAGGCTGAGGTTGCGGAAGGTGTGGCCATTGGGACCTCTGTAACCACAGTGAATGCCCTCAGCCTGTCCACACTGACCTATGACATTCGCCATGGGAACGGTGGCCGGACTTTCCGCATCAACCAATACAGTGGTGTGATCACAACCCAGAAGGCACTGGACTTTGAGACAGTTTCCTCATATGTTCTGACCGTCACGGCTAGCAACATGGCTGGACAGTCCTCGAATGCCACAGTAACTGTTGCTGTGCTTGACCAGAATGACAATGCTCCAGTTTTCCAGCAGGTGCGGTATCAGGGCAGCATCAGCGAGGGTGCAGGGTTGAACAGTGTGGTTCTGAGTGAAACGGGTGAACCTCTGGTCATTCGAGCAACAGATGCTGACCGAAACCACAATGCCCTGCTGGTGTACCAGATCCAGGAAGAAACTGCCAGGCGCTTCTTTGCTGTAGATGCAGGAACTGGCTCCATCAGGACTATCGCTCAACTGGACCACGAAACCACACCAACGTTCCGCTTCCATGTTAGTGTGAGGGACAGTGGGCGGCCCCAGCTGTCAGCCGAGCGTCCGGCAGAGGTTACTGTCCAGGTTCGAGACATTAATGACTGCCCTCCTCAGTTTTCCCAGGATTCCTATGAGGCTGTTCTCCTGCTGCCCACCTACGAGGGGGTGGAGGCCCTGCGAGTTTCTGCTTATGATCCTGACGGTGATGGCCAATCAGAGCTGGCTTACTCCCTGACCGATGGCAGTTTGGAGCACTTTGCTATGGAAGCAGACACTGGACTACTAACAGTCAGAAACAGCACTTTCAGTAAAGACCGGTTCCGCTTTAACATTCGTGTGTCAGATGGTCGTTTCTCTAGCACAGCTCTGGTGACCGTTCTGGTCCGTGAGGCACTGGACAGTGGACTAGCCTTCACACACGGTGTCTACAATGCCAACATTCAGGAGAACAACGGCAATGTGACTACAGTTGCTGTGGTTACAGCACTCGGTAACAGATTGAACGAGCCACTACGCTACAGCCTGCTGAATGCTGGTGGGAAGTTCAGAATCCGTCCCACGTCTGGCGCCATAGAGACAGTAGGAGTCCCATTGGACCGAGAAGAAAAGGAGGAGTATGGGCTTCTGGTTCAGGCAGGACGAGAAGAGGACAGGTTAAGAGTTGCCAGGGCACTGGTCCGTGTACGGGTTACAGATGTCAACGATAATGCCCCGGTGTTTGTGGGACTTCCATATTATGCAGCTGTGCAAGTGGAGGCAGAACCTGGAGCTTCCATATTCCGAGTCACAGCAGTGGACAGAGACAAAGGACTTAACGGAGAAGTCAGCTACTTCTTGCAGGATGAGTTGGGACACTTTGAGATGGATCGCATAAGTGGGGAACTAAGGTTACGCCGAGCTTTTGAAGCTGACTTGTCCAGTGTGGAATACCAGGTTCTAGTGTTTGCACGTGATGGTGGCACCCCACCTCTCTCGTCTTCCGTCACCTTTCCTGTTACTGTAGTAAACCGAGCCATGCCTGTATTCGACCGGCCATTCTATTCTGTAAAAGTGAGTGAGGATGTTCCAGTGCTCACACCAATTCTGGGAATTAACGCTAGCAGTCCAGAAGGACAGAGTGTCCTTTACACCATCACGCATGGCGACCCTGGTACTCTTTTCTCCATCGGCTTTGACACAGGAGTCATTAGCGTTATAGCGCCATTGGACTATGAGACCAGTCCTGCCCACAGACTGATTGTCAGGGCAACAGACTGCCTCACAGGTGCACGTGCAGAAGTAGACGTTGAAGTGATGGTTTTAGATGTAAATGACAATGCCCCGGTTTTTGAACAACCAGTATATAATGCAGTGATCTCTGAAGCAGCCATGATAGGCACTCCTGCCCTGCAGGTGCAAGCGTTGGACAGCGACTCAGAGAAGAATGCAGCAGTGCGATACCAGATCATCCCTGACCGTAGCAACAGCACAGACCACTTTCACATCGACAGCAGCAGTGGCCTAATACTGACTGCTCGATCTCTCGACCACGAGACTGTTGAACGTTACATCTTTGTTGTCAAAGCAACTGACAATGGTTTCCCGCCCTTGAGCAGTGAGGTGCGAGTGATAGTCCAGGTGATGGACACGAATGACAATGCTCCGGTCTTCAACCAGCTACTGTATGAGGCCTCGGTCAACGAGCTTGCACCCAGAGGTCACTTTGTTACATGTGTCCAGGCATCCGATGCAGATTGGTCTGACACAGATCGGCTTCGCTATGGTCTGGTATCAGGAAACGAGCGGATGCTGTTTGAGCTAGATGCTGCTTCTGGGGTCCTTACCCTGAGTGGCCAGCGACGAACGCAGCGCATGCCGTCCACTTTCAGCCTGAATGTTAGTGTTTCAGATGGTGTCTTCACCAGCACGGCTCAAGTTCATGTGCGTGTGGAGCGAGCTAATCTACATTCTCCACAATTCACTCTGAGCATGTATGAAGCAGAGGTACGTGAAAACATGCCAGCAGGATCAAAGGTAATCATGATCAGGGCGCAGGATGCTGATCCAGGGCCTTTTGGGGAGGTTCACTATATTCTGCTCTCAGACACAGCTCGGGACTTGTTTAGCATAGACAGCAATGGTCAGATCATGACTCTGGAAAAGTTGGACCGTGAGGAGAGAAGTGAAGTCATGTTGTCTGTGGCTGCAGTGGATGCAGGAGGTAGGGCTGGCTATTGCAGTGTCCGGGTCAGCCTGCTAGATGATAATGATAATGCTCCTCTGTTTGATGCTTCAGAGTACCGTGCTAGTGTCCGAGCAGAGGTAGCATCTGGATCTGTAGTGATCCAGGTTCAAGCATGGGATGCTGACCAGGGGATCAATGGACAGATCAGCTACAGCCTGTACAGTGAAGCCAGTCTGCAGGTAACAGAACTGCTGGACATTGATCCTGACAGTGGCTGGATAGTCACCAAGGGTAACTTCAGCCCCTTGCGAGGGTCAGTGCTGTCCTTTTTTGTGAAGGCCTCGGATGGCGGCACACCTGTTCGGCACACTCTTGCATCCGTGTATGTCCATGTACTCTCAGCTGATGCCCACTTGCCCATCTTTAGCCAGCCACACTTCTCCTTCACTGTACTGGAGGACACTCCCATAGGTTCCATGCTTGGGGCAGTCCATCTTCAGACACCTATTGGTCAGTCCTCACTACCGGTCAGTTTCTCAGCTGTGATTGGTCATACTGCAGTTGCCAATAGTGATGGAATGTTTGTGGTGGACAGGGAGAGTGGGATGATAAAGTTGGACAAACCACTAGACCGAGAGCGAACTCCAGTTTTCCATTTTAAGGTGGCTGCCACGCTCCAGCAAGGACTTGTAGATGCAGTCTCTGTTGTAGATGTGGAGGTGAAAGTTCTGGATGTTAACGATAACAAACCAGCATTTGAATCGGACGTCTATGAGGCATCGGTCAGTGAGGGACTTCCTGCTGGAACCAGGGTCCTCCAAGTGCGAGCAATGGACCCTGACTGGGCAGCCAATGGTCAAGTGACATACAGCCTTGCTCCTCCTGGGCTGCTTGGCTCAGGCAGTGAGGACTTGGAGGAGGGGAGTTTTTTCACGATTGACAGCAGTTCCGGTTGGATATCGACACTGAAGGGGCTGGATCACGAACACAGCCCTGCCCACAGTCTCACTGTCTGGGCGTATGACCTCGGCGACCCCGCCAGCCTGTCGGCCTCAACAACAGTGACCATAGCCGTGGGCGACTCCAATGATAACATGCCAGAGTTTCTGCAGGCCCGTTACTATGGCAGCGTCCGCGAAAGCGACGCCCCGGGGGAAGTGGTGGCTGTGCTGAACACACGGGATGACGACAGCTCTCCCGGCAACCGTCAGGTCACCTACCACATCACAGGTGAGGAAAAAACTATGTAAACGAGCATGTTTAATGAGAGCATGCTGTTTATATAACCTCTACCATGTAAACCTAAAATAGGCTCATTATAGACATTAAGGGTATACTTCATTCCTGATAGCAGGATGATGCATGTTTTGATAAACACAGTAAAGCCCTGCTGCCCCCCAGTGGTATGAACATTAATCATTTAAATGGCCTTTTGAATTTTTAAACCAGACAGTGTTTTCTTTAATATGTTAAAAGGATTTTTTAAAATATTTGCATAATTCAAGAATTGAGATGTAAACATGGTTCAGATGTCTTTACAGTGGTGGTGAGAGGAACCAGGGGTCGCCATGACGACAACACAAATATAGACATTTTATTTACTATCCAAAACCACCAGTGAACGTACAGCATTCGTTCATACACTATTTTTTCTTTCTTATGGAAAATTAATGAATATTGAGGAAGTTCAAATCCATAAATTATGTCACAAAGGACATCTCTTATAGACATTACATACAGACTCACATAACACTAGCACACATATACACACATATTAGCAATCACCTGGGATACTATAGCCACGGCCTGACATCTCATTCGAAACTACCTGGCATACCATAGCAATGGCCTAGCAACACCTTAGCAACTACCTGGGATACCATAGCAATGGCCTAGCAACACCTTAGCAACTACCTGGGATACCATAGCAATGGCCTAGCAACACCTTAGCAACTACTTGGGATACCATAACAATGGCCCAGCAACACTTTAGCAACTACCTGGGATACCATAGCAATACCTTGGCAACCAATTGCTCTAGGAAGATATTTGCGTGTTTATCTTTCAGCTGTTCAGTTGCTAGGCAACAGACTTGACAGTTGATTGTCAATAACGATCGAGTAAGTTAAGATTTCCTAACCTGAGATGAGATGATGTAAGATGAGATAAAATTCCTAAATTAAGGTCAGATTTGCTTCTCTTGACCTGTCAGATCTTAACTTAGGACGAAAAGAGAGGAAGTTTCTGTAATACAGCCCCTGAGGCTCATGGGAACTCAGGGATGAGAAGGATACATAGGTGCATCCTCAGATTTCGGCCAGAAGAAGGTCACATTTTGTCGGCCGCATTTCGAGGACCCTCCGCGTTCTTTTGAAATGGGATGGCGCTTATGACGTTTGCGGCCGAGAAATGGGACCTCGGAAGGTCTCAGCCCCGTAATCGCGACGCGCCGGTAGTCCTGCTGAGGAGAGCAGCTGTGCACTACATACTGTTTCATGTTCAGTGAGGATGTGACTGAGTGTCGTCTCTGCTGAGGAGGAGTTCAACATACTGCACACACACACACTCAGGTGCAGGACTGGATACCAGCAGCTCAGACATTCATAACATCGCATTAGGGACCTGCTGTGTTTTATAATTCAGAAGACCCCGAACTCAGACGCACACACATACCACACACTAACCACACACACACACACACAGACAACACACACACACATACTACATACATACTACACACACCTTGACTGAGACTGAATTTATATTAAGCTGCAGCCTCTGTGCTGTTATCGTAACTTAGAGACAGACAGAAACACACAGCATTTCATAAACACATACATACTGAACACACACACACATATATACTGCACACTCATTTAACACACACACTACAGAAACACACACACACACACACACATATATACTGCACTCATTTAACACACACACTACAGAAACACACACACACACACACACACATATATACTGCACACTCATTTAACACACACTACAGACTACACTCACACACACACGCACATATATACTGCACACTCATTTAACACACACACTACAGACTACACTCACACACACACACACATACTGCACACTCATTTAACACACACACTACAGACTACACTCACACACACACATACTGCACACTCATTTAACACACACACTACAGACTACACTCACACACACACATACTGCACACTCATTTAACACACACACTACAGACTACACTCACACACACACATACTGCACACTCATTTAACACACACACTACAGACTACACACACACATATATATACTGCACACTCATTTAACACACACACTACAGACTACACTCACACACACACACACATATATATACTGCACACTCATTTAACACAAACACTACAGACTACACACACACATATATATACTGCACACTTATTTAACACACACACTACAGAGTACACTCACACACACACACACACATACTGCACACACACCCGCACACATACTACAAACACACACTATGCACATACACATACTACACACATAGTAGACACACAAACAGTACACAAATATTAGATATAGACACATACTACACACATATACACACACCAGACACACACAAACATACTAAAAACATACAGACATACTACAGGTATACTACACACACTTACTACACACAGACACTATATACATTCTACACACACTACACACACACATATACTACACACTTTATTTTTTCTCTTTATCTTTTTCCTTTCTGTCTCATTTTCTTTCTTTTTGTCTTTCTTTCTTTTTTCCTTTTCTCCTTCTGTTTCCTCTCTCACTCTTTTTCCTCTTTGTGTCTCCCCTCCTCTCTCTCTCTCTCTCTCCTCTCTCTCTCTCTCTCTCTCTTTTTCTCTCTCTGTGCTGTGAGGGTGTGAAGAGTCTATTAGAGGCTGTTTGCCCTTTTAAGTTCTCCTAAAACAGGAGATTTAAACAAAGAGAGAGAGAGAGAGAGAGAGAGAAACATGCAAAGGGAAAGAGAGAGAAAGAGAAATCAGAAAAAGAGAGAGAGATAAACAGAGAGAAAGAGAGAAAACAGAAAAAGAAAGAGAGGGAGAGATAAACAGAGAGAGATTCTGATGTTGATCATTGTTGATAAATGCTGGTCTTTAACCACTGCAGTCTTAAAACAACCTCACACTCTCAGACTGCAGTCTCAGATCTCAGACTGATCTTCAGACTTCAGTCTCAGATCTCAGACTGATCTTCAGACTTCAGTCTCAGATCTCATACTGATCTTCAGACTGATCTTCAAACTTCGGTCTCAGATCTCAGACTGATCTTCAGACTGATCTTCAGACTGCAGTCTCAGATCTCAGACTGATCTTCAGACTGATCTTCAGACTGATCTTCAGACTGATCTTCAGACTTCGGTCTCAGATCTCAAACTGATCTTCAGACTGATCTTGAAACTTCGGTCTCAGATCTCAAACTGATCTTCAGACTGATCTTCAGACTGATCTTCAAAACTGCAGTCTCAGATCTCATACTGATCTTCAGACTGATCTTCAGACTGATCTTCAGACTGCAGTCTCAGATCTCATACTGATCTTCAGACTGATCTTGAAACTTCAGTCTCAGATCTCAAACTGATCTTCAGACTGATCTTCAGACTGATCTTCAAACTGCAGTCTCAGATCTCAGACTGATCTTCAAACTGATCTTCTAACTGATCTGCAGTCTCAGATCTCAGACTGATCTTCAGACTGATCTTCAGACTGCGGTCTCAGATCTCAGACTGATCTTCAGACTGATCTTCAAACTGCAGTCTCAGATCTCAGACTGATCTTCAAACTGATCTGCACTCTGCAGTCTCAGAGCTCATACTGATCTTCAGACTGATTTTCAAACTCAGACTCATCTTCAAACTGATCTTCAGATTGATCTTCAAACTGCGGTCTCGGATCTCAGACTCATCTTCAGACTGATCTTCAGACTGATCTCCAAACTGCGGCCTCAGATCTTCAGACTACACTTCAGACTGATCTTCACACTGATTTTCAGACTGATCTTCAAACTGCAGTCTCAGATCTCATACTGATCTTCAGACTGATTTTCAAACTTACATTGATATTCAGACTGATCTTTAGACTGATCTTCAAACTACAGTCTTAGATCTTACATTGATATTCAGACTGATCTTCAAACTTTGGTCTCAGACCTTACGCTGATCTTCAGACTGATCTTCAGACTGATTTTCAAACTTACATTGATATTCAGACTGATCTTTAGACTGATCTTCAAACTTTGGTCTCAGACCTTACGCTGATCTTCAGACTGATCTTGATAAGAGTCTATTCATCCTTCACAGCACTGAGAGTGCTTTACAGAGCGCCCAGTGCATTCTGGGTAAAATCACCCACTACAGCTGATTTTCACACACTGTCAGCAAGGGCTAAGAGCCTGTTATTAACACTCTCTCTCTCTCTCTCTCTCACAAACACACTCACTCTCTCTCTCACAAACACACTCACTCTCTCTCTCACACACATAGTCTCTCTCTCTCTCACACACACACACACACACTCTCTCTCTCTCTCTCTCTCTCACACACACACACACACACTCTCTCTCACAAACACACTCTCTCTCACACATAGTCTCTCTCACACACACACACTCTCTCTCTCTCACACACACACACTCTCTCACACACACACACACACACACACTCTAACATACACTCTCTCCCTTTTACAGAGAGAGAGAGAGAGAAGTGAGAAAGAAAAGGAGGGAGAGAGAAAAGAAAGGAGTGAGCAAGAGAAAGGGAGAAAAAGGAGGGAGTGAGAGAGGGAGAAAGGAAAGGAGGGAGTGAGAGAGAGGTGAGAAAGAAAAGGAAGGAGAGAGAGAGAGAAAGGGAAAGGAGGGAGCGAGAGTTAGAAAAGAAAGAGCAGAGAGAGAAGGAGAAAGGAAAAGAGGGAGAGAGAGAGAGAATAGTGAGAAAGGAAAGGAGAGAGAGAAGTAAGGAAGGAAAGGAGAGAGAGAGAGAGAAGTAAGGAAGGAAAGGAGAGAGAGAGAGAAGTGAGGAAGGAAAGGAGGGAGAGAGAGAGAGAGAGAGAGAGTGAGGGCGAGAGAGTATTGCAGTGTGTGTATGAGCTGCTCTGTGTGCTATTAGCCTCCAGCTGAGTTAAACAGTGCAGTTTATGTAGATGAGCGGCGGAGCAGCGTCTGTTTGAGCTCGTCTGCAGTTAAGAGCAGAGTAATTGGACTCTTATCAAAGCCGACTGTTTTTGATTACTCTGTTTTCATTTAATTCATTCTGTCTGCCAATTTTTCACACTCGTTCACTCTCTCTCTCTCTCTCTCTCTCTCTCCCCACTCTCTCTCTCTCTCTCTGAGAGTTGTGGTGATGTTGTTTCTCTTCATTGTGATGAATTACAGTTAAAGATCATTACAGTTTGACCTTAATTTGCGCTTCTGATTATTTAAATGAAAATAAAAGGTGTGATTATTATAATTTACACTAATGAGCCTGTCAGGACGGAGGACTCTCAGAGGTTATTAACACATGCTGGAGTGTGTGAGGTGTGTGTGTGTGTGTGTGTGTGTGAGGTGGTGGGGGGGGTTACTTTTCCAGTCTTTTTTATAGATGAAGATAATTACTGAAACTTTATAGCTTTATTTTTTGGGTGGTGATTCAGATGGATAGAATAATAATGCATAATAATGATTTTAATAGTCAGTGTATGTATGTGCGTGTGTGCGTGTGTGTGTGTGTGTGTGTGTGCAGGGGGGAATCGTGGCGGGGTGTTTGCGCTGGGTTTGGTCCAGAGTGAATGGAAGCTGTACGTTAAACGGCCGTTAGACAGAGAGGATCAAGAGCGTTACCTCATCAACGTCACGGCAACCGACGGACTCCACGTAGCCACGGCAACCGTGGAGGTGCTGGTGATGGACATCAATGACAACAGCCCTGTCTGTGACCCGGTGAGTGACCTATTAATTACTCTGTAACTACGACCAGTGATTAAAGGGAAATTCCACCACTTTTTCCAAATTTCCGAAATTCAAAATTCCTACATAATTCATCTGCTACCAGTTATTAAAGGGGAATTGCACCACTTTTTCAAATTCCAAAATTCTAAATTCCGACGTAATTCAGCTAGTAGCAATTATTAAAGGAGAGTTTCACCATTTTTTCAGAATTCCTATATAATTCAACTACTAATTTTTAAAGGGGAATTCCACCACTTTTTCAAAATTCCTACAGAATTCTACTACTACTAATTTTTAAAGGGGAATTCTGCCACTTTTTCAAAATTCCAAAATTCCTGTGTAATTCAACTACTACCAATTATTAAAGGGGAATTCCACCACTTTTTCACAATTCCAAAATTCCTATGTAATTCAACTACTACCAATTATTAAAGGGGAATTCCACCACTTTTTCAAAATTCCAAAAACCCTATGTCATTCAACTACTGCCAATTATTATATGGGAATTCCACCACTTTCTCAGAATTCCTTCGTAATTCAGTGGTTGTGATGTAAACCATGGCTTTCAAAGTGGTCTGATATGAAATGGTTAATTGTACACAATTAACCATTTGTACACATCCAAAGATGGATCTTCGAGGGTTCTACACAGAACCACAAACACTCAAACTAAAGCACTAAAAAGGGTTCTGCTGTTGTAATGCTGTCAAGCAACTGTTTTTGGTGCTGTATAGAACCATTTTCAAAAAGGTTCTATGTAGAACTATTTACAACACATTCTCCATCAATCTATTGTTGCTGCTAGATGTTTAACAATAGTAGCACTTACAGTTGTCTAGAGCAGATCTAGCAGGGCTAAAACACTTGTAATGAGGAGGGGCGTCCACATCCTTTTGGCCATATATAGCCTATATATTTGTATGTGTGTTGTGTAGGCGGTCCACACAGCCTCTGTCTCTGAGGACGTTCCGGTTGGGAAGCTGATCCTGAGGGTTAAAGCGACAGATGCAGATGCTGGTTCTAATGCACAGATTCAGTACACGCTCTCAGGACAGGGAGCCGAGGACTTCATCATTCACCCGTACACAGGTACCGCATGTGCTTTTCAGATTGAACTATAAAGGAACAAAAGCAAACCTACATTAAATATAGTCGATCAGCCAAGACGAGCACCAAATCCAGGCTTCAAGATGCTACTGCTGTTTTTAGCTTTATGCTAATGCGCTTCAGTCCATGTTTATAGATTACAGTGAGTCATACAGTGTCAGAAACCACAGAATCAAGTCTGCTAGAGATACTGAACACCACACAGGTTGAGGCAAATGTGATTCAGGCTTGCAGTTAGCGCCATGCTAATTGGGGCTAATATGTTTGTCTCACAGGAAATAAAGCAGATCTAAGAATTGTATTTTTTAAAAAAGCAGTTTCTGAATTTTCTCTTTTAAATGTCCCCTTAGGAGATTAATAAGACATATTAGAAAATGGACAATATATGATGGAACTGCAAATCATGTGTTTTTGCTGATTATTTGCTGAATTTAACTTACTGGAAAAATATAAATGTTACCATATAATATAAATGCAGCAAACCAGTTAAAATGTATATGTATATATCTCTGTAGGAGAGTTGAAGACAGCGGTGGAGCTGGATCGAGAGAAGGTGGCGCTGTACTCGCTGGTTGCCCGAGCCACAGACGGTGGTGGTCTCTGGTGTGATGCTGCCGTTGCCGTGACGCTGCTGGACGTGAACGATAACCCGCCTCAGTTCAGCATGAGCCACTATACGGCCAGCGTTTATGAAAACACGGCCACTAAAGCTCTGCTCACACGCCTGCAGGCCATCGACCCCGACCTCGGTAACACACACATACACACACACACACGCTCACACACTCACACACACAATCACACATATACACAGACTCACATTCACACACACGTTCATACACTTACACACACACACACTCAGACTCACACACTCACATATACACACTCACTCTCTCTCTCTCTCTCTCTCTCTCTCTTTCTCTCCCTCTCTCTCTCTCTCTCTCTCTCTCTCTCTCTCTCTCTCAGGAGAGAGCCGTAAGGTCGCCTACTCCCTGATGGACTCTGCCGATGGGTTCTTCTCCATCGATAAGTCCTCGGGCGTGGTGGTTCTGGAACGTCCGCTGGACCGCGAGATCCAGTCCTTGTACGTCATCACGGTCCGAGCGTCTGACCAGGGCGTCCCTCTGCGGCTCTCGTCGCTCACCAACCTCACCATCACGGTCCTGGACATCAACGACAACCCTCCCGTCTTCGAGAGGCGCGACTACCTGGCCACGCTGCCCGAGGACATCGCTGTGGCAACAGAGGTGCTGCGCGTGTACGCGGCCAGCAAAGACATCGGCACCAACGCCGACATCTACTACAGCATCAGATCCGGAAACCAACAGGGCCACTTCACCATCGACGTCCACACGGGTGAGGAGAGACCATGTGACACCTTCGGATTCATTTCATCATCAACGTTTAAAAATAATAATATATACACTTCACAGGCCACAGTACTGTAATATAGTACATTAGATTGTGCTATGCTATATAACATTTGACTGTTATTTACTGCATTAGACTATAAAATACCGTCTTAGACTGTACTGTACTGCATCAGACAGACCTACACTACACTGCGTCAGACCATTCTGTAATATGTGAGTATATAATACTATACTGTATTAGATGACATGGTCCTATATGGTACATTTTAGTATACAGTACTCAGCACTGCATTAAACTATACTGTAATATACTGCAGCACACTATACAATTCTATACTGCATTAAAGTACACAATACTATACTGCATACTGTACAATACTTAATACTGCATTAGAATAGACTGTGTTATGCTATAATACATTTCACTGTACAGTGCTATAATAATCTGCTTTTAACTATACAATACTACAGTGCATTAGAATGCATTGTAATGTACTGCATTTCACCACACAATGCTATACTGCACTACTCTATACTTCAATTACTGCACTGTACTATACTATAATATACATTAATATGTATGATAAAATAATATTCTGCATTAGACTACACTGTACCACTTTAAAATATACTATATTGTACTGCATTAGAATATACAGTGCTATACTGCATTAAATTATATAGTGCTATACTGCATTAGATTATACAGTGCTATACTGCATTAAACTATACAGTGCTATACTGCATTAGACTTTACAGCACTTAATACTGTATTAGACTTCACTGTAATGCATTTTACTGTACAATACTATTCTGCAATAGACAATACTATACTGCACTGTAACAGACTATACACTGCATTAGACTATACTATACTGCACTGTAATATTCTATGCACTGCATTAGACTGCACTATACTGCAGTGTAACATACTATACACTGCATTAGACAATACTATACTGCACTGTAATATATTACACACTGCATTAGAGTATACTGCACTGTAACAGACTGTACACTGCATTAGACTATACTATACTGCACTGTAATATACCACACACTGCATTGTATTATAAAAATATACTGCATTAGACTATACTGCACTGTAATATACTACACACTGCATTGTATTATAAAAATACACTGCATTAGACTACTGCACTGTAACATACTATACACTGCATTAGACTATACTATACTGCACTGCAATATACTACACACTGCATTGTATTATGAAAAATACACTGCATTAGACTACTGCACTGTGACAGACTGTACACTGTATTAGACTATACTATACTGCACTGTAATATACTACAGACTGCATTCTATTATAAAAATATACTGCATTAGACTAAAATATACTGCACTGTAACAGACTATACACTGCATTAGACTATACTATACTGCACTGTAATATACAACAGACTGCATTGTATTATGAAAAATACACTGCATTAGACTACTGCACTGTGACAGACTGTACACTGTATTAGACTATACTATACTGCACTGTAATATACTACAGACTGCATTCTATTATAAAAATATACTGCATTAGACTAAAATATACAGCACTGTAACAGACTATACACTATACATTATAAAAATATACTGCATTAATATACTATACACTGCATTCGACTATACTGCACTGTAATATACACTGCATTAGACTAGACTATACTGCACTTTAAACTACAGGCTGTATTATAATATACTGAATTTCATTATACAATACTTAATACTGCATTAGACTGCACTGTACTACTTTAAAATATAGTGTACTGCATTAGACTATACAGTGCTATACTGCATTAAAATATATAGTGCTATACTGCCTTAGACTATACAGTGCTATACTGCAATAGACTACACAGTACTTAATACTGCATTAGACTACAAAATATTTAATACTACATTAGACTATAGAGTATTATACTGCATTATACTATACTGTAGTACACTTCATTAAAATATATAATACTTTAATGTCTTAGCATATATAATGCTATATTTAGTTATAATGTACTGTACATTACATTGCATTGAACTACAATATACTATAATACTTTGTATTCAAATATACAGCATTGTACTGCATTATAGTATTATACTCTAATTATACTCTGAGACTATATTATACTGTGCTACGTTAGACTATAAAATACTGTATCACATTATAATATACTCTAATACATTGCATTGAAATATGCAAGACTGTACTGCATTATAGTATTATACTCTAATATACTATATTATACTGTAATGCATTAGACGATACAATATTATAATATACTATAATACATTGCATTCTAATACTGTACTTCATCAGACAACACACAGTTATACCGTCCAGTCGTCCTGTAACTGAATAATTGCTATAATTGGATGTAGCACCATCAGCACCTATTATAAAAGTTCTGTCCACTCGTGGGTTCCTCTCCTGTCTTCCTGCCCTCTGTGTCAAATATAATCTCCGACTGCAGCACCTCTGTACATCATTACAGCCCACCGACTGTCCCAGCTAAAGCCGCCTGGAGGGACAGCTCACTATCTGCTCAGTGCCAGTCCAAATCCAGCCTGCAGTTTACCGTCCACATCCGCACTCATTTGACCACCGCAGGACCGCACACACTCTCCGACTCGCATTCTTCATTTCGATTTGCAACTCAGCACTAGCTGTGGCAGCCGCTAAAGCAGGTAGATAGAGAGCCCGAGGCTGTTGGTGTCCTAAAACCGCAGCCTCCTGCCTCCAGCCCGCAGCTTCCTGCTCCTTCACGGAGTTAATCTCCTTCCCTCGCTCCGGCTCGCACACTTCCCCACGTCCAGCTCCCGTTTGTTCGGAGCGTGCTGTCGATCTTGTTTGCTGGCTGTTGCTGCTGCCATAGTAATTACCGCTCATGGATAATTAAACGGTATCAAATTGAGCTGAATTGACGCACCAGAGAGAGATGAGAAACAAACGAGTCCGTGCTTTGATGATGAGGCTGCTGTGCGTGGAGAGAAGTGCTGTCCCACTTTGCATATGTTCAGATTGTGATTAATTTTTTATTTTTTTTTCGCTGCGCTTTTATTTTGGAGATTTGCTTTCTGCTCTTTATCGACTCTTTCAGATATTTGCATATGTGTATATATATTTGGGTGGTGGATCATTCTCAGCACTGCAGTAACACTGACGTGGTGGTGGTGTGTTAGTGTGTGTTGTGCTGGTCTGAGTGGATCAGACACAGCAGTGCTGCTGGAGTTTTTAAACACTGTGTCCACTTACTGTCCACTCTATTAGACACTCCTACCTTGTCAGTCCACCTTGTAGATGTAAAGTCAGAGACGATAGCTCATCTGCTGCTGCACAGTTTGTGTTGGTCGTCCTCTAGTCCTTCATCAGTGGTCACAGGACACTGCCTACAGGACGCTGTTGTCTGGATATTTTTGGTTAGTGGACTATTCTCAGTCCAGCAGCGACACTGAGGTGTTTAAAAACTCCAGCAGCACTGCTGTGTCTGATCCACTCAGACCAGCACAACACACACTAACACACCACCACCACGTCAGTGTTACTGCAGTGCTGAGAATGATCCGCCACCCAAATAATACCTGCTCTGTGGGGGTCCTGTGGGGGTCCACAGGACAGGGTGCAGAGAAACAGATGGACTACAGTCTGAAACTGTATGAAGTAAAACTACATGGTCAGTGGAGCTGATAAGATGGACGCTGAGTGTAGAAACAAGGAGGTGGATTTAATGATAGATACAAACAAAGAATGTTTTAATGTGTGTGTGTGTGTGCGTGTGTGTGTGTGTGTGTGTGTGTGTGTGTGTGTGTGTAGGAGCGATCTCCGTGTCCCGTCCTCTGGACTTCGAGTCCTGTAAAGATTACTTCCTGACGGTCGAAGCTCGAGATGGTGGGACTCCGCCCCTCAGTGCGGTTACCATGGTGAACATCAACCTGACGGATGTCAACGACAACGCGCCGATGTTCAGCCGCGACGTTTACAGCGCGGCCATCAGTGAGGACGCTAACATCGGAGACACTGTTGTCAAGGTAACCAATAAGTGATACACAGTAACGTTCAATCGTTTGTTGTTTTTAATCAATATTAACTTCATAAATAATGATATACAGTAACGTGTTCATGAAAACAAGTTAGCACATCCTCTACAGGGAACAAACTTAAATATGCCAGCAACTGTCAAGCAACCACCTAACAACACCCTAGTAACCACATGGGATACCATAGGAACCTCCTAGCAACATCATAGCAACCACTTGTGATACCATAGCAACCTCTCAGCAACACCCTAGCAACCACATGGGGTACCATAGCAACCTCTCAGCAACATCCTAGCAACCACCTGGGGTACCATAGGAACCTCTTAGCAACACCCTAGCAACCACTTAGGATACTATAGGAACCTCTTAGCAACACCCTAGCAACCACTTTGGATATCATAGCAACCTCTTAGCAACACCCTAGCAACTACTTGGGATACTATAGCCACCTCTTAGCAACACCCTAGCAATCACTTGGGATACCATAGCAACCTCTTAGCAACACCCTAGCAACCACTTGGGATACTATAGGAACCTCTTAGCAACCCTGTAGCAACCACGTGGGATACCATAGCAGCCTTTTAGCAACGCTCTAGCAACCACGTGGGATACCATAGGAACCTCTTAGCAAAACCCCAGCAACCACTTGGGATATCATAGCAACCACCTTGCAACATCTGCACTGTCACTGCATTTTCTTCTTGAACTGCACTTTTCTGCTTTTATTAGAACTTTCCGGACACGGTTCTGTGATCTGATGGCTTGTCCTTGATCCGGTTGCCTAGGTAACAGCTGAAGACGTGGACAGCCAGGTGAACGGCGTCATCCTGTACTCCATCGTCAACGGCGACCGCGAGAACCAGTTCTTCATCGAGCCAGTCACGGGTCAGATCAAAGTGAACAAGCAGCTGGACCGAGAAACGGTGAGCAACGGTCACTGCGGGCGTTACCACGGCAACTGCCTCACCTTTGCTGTATCTGAAACTAGACAAAAAGCAGGACTGCCCCCATCTGGCTGAGTACTGAAAGTCAGCCACATCCCACAGTTCTCTGCTTGCAGACGAAGGTCAAAAATGGCAACAGAAAGCAGCGGCACGAACAGAGTGGAGAGAAACGAATTCATATTACTTTGAATTATTGTATATTGTGATATTTAATCAGTGTTAGTGTATTAATTATATTCCATTATAACTAATGGAACTTTTTTACTGACCAAAACCTGAAAAAGGCCCAAATGGTCACCAGCTGGCTGGATATTCATACTGTACTGCTGCCCTGGTAGTCCATCTACAGCTGAGTGTCCTCAGAGGGACCTTCATATAAACCCAGCACAGCTTCACAGCAGCTCTACACAGAGCCTAACGACTTTATAATAGAGATTTATAGGTTATATATCACTTATGAATCTCTATTAGAGACACTTTCCTTTCCAGAATGAGGATTAATCTGTTTTTGGTAAACCATAAACAAAAAACACTGTAAATATTTTGGGTTGCTGTGCATTACGAATAATAATCATAAACATATAATGATTTTATAGTTTATAGGATGGACTGAGTGTTGCCACCTGCTGTACTGGTGTTATTTGTAGTGAAGAAAGTTTTACCCAAATCTGTCTCTGTTAGACGCATGTTATATAATCGCTGCCACAAGGGGGCGACAGAATCCCCCCACAGTGAAGGAGAGAAACAAACTCCCACTGCAACATCAAAGCAGATCTGTTTACGTAATAATAATAATAACAGTAATTTATAGAGAAGCAGAAACACTGAAGGTAAAAATGATTGTAAATAAATAAAATAAAAAGATATAATTGAATAAAATGATGTACAATAAAAATATAAATTAGGTTGCATTGGTTGCATTAGATACTTAAAAAAGCTGAATTAAAATGATGTTTTGATGTAAAAAGTTTTTCTTATATAATAATAATAATCATAATAATAATAATAGTAATAGTAAAATTAATGAACTTTTACTAATATTCCTTCGACGTGTAGAAAGCAGCTCAGAGGGCTTTAGGCTGTGATTGAGTCGCTGCTCTATATTCAGCATCACTGATGGAGCTTTGTCTCTAAGGATACTGTTGCCATGGCAGCTGTCAATCACTCTGACCAATGATAACCTCTTATGCAAGCATTGATTCTGTCTTCTAGACATAGAGGACGGAGAGAGAGTGAGAAAGAAAGAAAGAGAGAGAGCGCGAGAGAGAGAATAGAAAGATAGAAAGAAAGAAAGAAAGAAAGAAAGAAAGGAAAGAAAGAAAGAAAGAAAGAAAGAAAAGAAAAGAAAGCAAGAAATAAAGAAAAGAAAGAAATAACAGTAGAATAGAAAGAAAAAAAGAAAGACACAACCAGAGAGAGTGAGAGAGAGAGAGAGAGAATGAGTGAGATAGAGAGAGAGAGAGAGAATGAGAAAGAGAGAGAGAGAGAGAGAGAGGAGAGAGAATAAGTGAGAGAGAGAGAGATGAGAGAGAGAGAGAGAGAGAGAATGAGTGAGAGAGAGAGAGAGAGAGTGAGTGAGAGAGAGAAGAGAGAGAGTGAGAGAGAGAGAGAGAGAGAGTGAGTGAGAGAGAGAAAGAGAGAATGAGTGAGAGAGTGAGAGAGTGAGAGAGAGAGTTTAGAATAGCAGTAAATTACATTAATGGGCTGAAGAAAAAAGTGAGAACGGTAATAAAATCTAATGAAATATAATAAAAATGTAATAAAATATAATAAAATCTAGTAAAATATAATAAATTATAGCAGCGTTAATTGTTCTAGTGATAGTGGAACTAATTGAAATATGTCTGAGTGACTGTGTGTGTTCATTTATATGTATCTCTCTCTCTCTCTCTCCCTCTCTCTCTCTCTGTTTCTGTCTCTCTCTCTCTCTCTCTCTCTCTCTAGATTGCGGGTTATGCATTGGTGGTCCGAGCTCTGGACAGTGGGACCCCCGCCATGTCCTCCACAGTGGTGGTAAACATCGATCTTGCCGACATCAACGACAACCCGCCCACCTTCACCCCGGCCAATCACACGGCAGTAATACAGGTAGAGTGATCAGTTCAGCCAATCAAAACCAGATCTCAGTCGACAGCAGATCATCTCTCAGTCTGAGGTTTAACTGTCTCTGTTCTCAATAACAATACAGAGTCAGTTCAAAAGCAGATTAATGAATAAATTATCATAATCTGCTCATCATCATCATCGTCATCTTCATCATCTCTTCTTCATAGATTTCAGATAATGTTCAGATGTAGAAATGTTAATGTGTCTAGAATAATGAACAGAAGATTCTAAAGCTGTAGAACATCCAGAATGAAGTTCTAATAAAATTAACATCCAGAAAAAGTTCTAACAATAATTAATAAAATTAATATTCAGAATAAAGTTCTAATAAAATGAAGTTCTAGAATTAAGTTCTATTGAATTTCTTGCAAAATTAATGTCCAGAAGTTGTAATAAAATTAACATCCAGTGTGCGATTCTAATAAAATGATTATTCAGAATTAAGTTCTAGTAAAACTGATAGCCACAATAAAGTTTTTACCAAAATTAATTTTAAGTTTTAATAATATTAACATCTGAATAATATTAAGTTCTTCTAAATTATATTCAGAATGAAGTTCCTATAAAAATATATTCAGAATGAAGTTCTAGTAAAATTATATTCAGAATTAAATTCTAATAAAATTATGTTCAGAATGAAGTTCTAATAAAATGATATTCAGAATGAAGTTCTAAAAAATGATATTCAGAATGAAGTTCTAATTAAATTAAATTCTTAATTAAGTTCTAATAAAATTATATTAAAAATGAAGTTCTAATAAAATTATATTTAGAATGAAGTTCTAGTAAAATTATATTCAGAATGAAGTTCTAATAAAATTATATTCAGAATGAAGTTCCTATAAAAATATATTCAGAATGAAGTTCTAGTAAAATTATATTCAGAATTAAATTCTAATAAAATGATGTTCAGAATGAAGTTCTAAAAAAATGATATTCAGAATGAAGTTCTAAAAAAATTATATTCAGAATGAAGTTCTAATTAAATTAAATTCTTAATTAAGTTCTAATAAAATTATATTAAGAATGAAGTTCTAATAAAATTATATTTAGAATGAAGTTCTAGTAAAATTATATTCAGAATGAAGTTCTAATAAAATTATATTCAGGATGAAGTTCTAATAAAATTATATTCTTAATGAAGTTCTAGTAAAATTATATTCAGAGTGAAGTTCTAATAAAATTAAATTCTTAATGAAGTTCTAATAAAATTATATTCTTAATGAAGTTCTAGTAAAATTATATTCAGAATGAAGTTCTAATAAAATTAAATTCTTAATGAAGTTCTAATAAAATTATATTCTTAATGAAGTTCTAATAAAATTATATTCAGGATGAAGTTCTAATAAAATTATATTCTTAATGAAGTTCTAATAAAATTATATTCAGAATGAAGTTCTAATAAAATTAAATTCTTAATGAAGTTCTAATAAAATTATATTCTTAATGAAGTTTTAGTAAAATTATATTCAGAATGAAGTTCTAATAAAATTATATTCAGGATGAAGTTCTAATAAAATTATATTTAGAATGAAGTTCTAATAAAATTATATTCAGGATGAAGTTCTAATAAAATTATATTTAGAATGAAGTTCTAATAAAATTATATTCTTAATGAAGTTTTAGTAAAATTATATTCAGAATGAAGTTCTAATAAAATTATATTCAGGATGAAGTTCTAATAAAATTATATTTAGAATGAAGTTCTAATAAAATTATATTCAGGATGAAGTTCTAATAAAATTATATTCTTAATGAAGTTTTAGTAAAATTATATTCAGAATGAAGTTCTAATAAAATTATATTCAGGATGAAGTTCTAATAAAATTATATTTAGAATGAAGTTCTAATAAAATTATATTCAGGATGAAGTTCTAGTAAAATTATATTCAGAATGAAGTTCTAATAAAATTATATTCTTAATGAAGTTTTAGTAAAATTATATTCAGGATGAAGTTCTAATAAAATTATATTCAGGATGAAGTTCTAATAAAATTAGATTCAGAATGAAGTTCTAATAAAATTATATTCAGGATGAAGTTCTAATAAAATTATATTTAGAATGAAGTTCTAATAAAATTATATTCAGAATGAAGTTCTAATAAAATTATATTCAGAATGAAGTTCTGGTAAAATTATATTCTTAATGATGTTCTAATAAAATGTTGTTTAAAATGAAGTTCTAAAAAAATTATATTTAGAATGTTAACATCACTTTTTGAACAGTACTATATTTGTTCATCTTTTTGATTGACAGGAGAATAAGCCAATTGGGACGAGCATCCTGCAGCTGTCAGTCATCGACAACGACGCCACCCACAACGGCCCGCCCTTTCACTTCCGCATCCTGTCGGGAAACGAGGGGGGGTGGTTTAAGATGGACAGGGAGGGGCTTTTAACATCCAATCAGATGTTCCGCAGGTCAGAGGGCACTGAGTACACCATTCAGGTGGAGGTGAGAGCCAAACCATCACTTTGTTTCATTGTTCTGTTTTTTTTGTTTTTTTGTTTTTTTGTTCCCTCACTGAAAAGACAGGGTGTCTGCTGGTCGTTCTTAATTTGAAATGACAGTTTACAAATTAAAAGCCCTAATAAGTATTTAGTTGTCTTAAATTTGAACTCGCGTGGTATTGGACCATTCTACTCAGTTAAAATGCTGTCCCATGTTTTCATGTCACTACCGAAACACAGAGTTTTTGTATGTAGGCGGAGCCTCATTTAGCCACGCCCCTATATTTTAGAGCAGGGAGTGAGGCTGCGTCCCTGTCCCTCATGGCCACATGGTGAGCAGTTAGATCACATAGTTTTGAAGTAAATGTGTCCCAAAGTCTGAAAATCAGTGTGGAACATTAAGAAATGTCACTACTGAAACACAGATATTCTGAACTTTTTAGTCTTTTAATGTAAAATATGATGATTTTCTGTGTGAACAGCTGTTCAAAGCTGTGTTTGCTGGTCATGTACCAGCTGAGTTTTTGAGCTCAAAATGAGCTAAAATTGTCACCACCGAAACAGTCACTACTGAAACAGTCACTACTGAAACATTTGGTAAAGTTTGGGTAGAGTTTTGATTGTTTCAGTAGTGACAAAAATGTCACTTTTGTCATTAGTTTTAATAAAATTAAACATAATTAAGGTTTAGAGTCACTCAAAGCTAAAGGATTTTAAACTCCAAAAGTCCAAGATCAGTTAAAAGTCCCAAATGTGTTTCAGCTCTGACTATATATATATTATATTATATTAATTATAGAGATTTAATTTTGCTGCTTATTACAAAATCTGATTTGCATGTTGCTGTAAATATTTTAGCTAACTACATTGTTGATGATAAACATGATGATTATGATAATTAGGCAGAAAAAGGACATAAGGACCTTTGTGACATAAGTCAACAAATAATCTCAGTACAAAACATATTTGTTATTAATATTTGCATTTTTCTCCCACATTTTTTTCTAAATTTCCTCATAATTAAATGGTTCGGATGTAAATAAGTTCCTTTTGTGAAAAAATGCTGCATTTTAGAGTAATTTATGGATCTTAAAAATACACTTTAGGCCTTTAAAATTCTTCTCAAAACTATCCTAAAACAGTGTCTCAGTCATCAGGCAGTGAATTCATAACCATTTACTGTAGTAACTTTCTGTGAGGGAGCTTTTAGAGGTGGACGTCTGGTTCCTATCACCACCACTGTGAACAGTTCTGACTGTAAGTTTCTCTAGAACAGAGCGTTTCACACCAAACCACTCTGAACGACTCTGTTTACTTAGAAATGAATAACATTACAGTCCCTGGCCACTTTATCGGAAACCCCTAGGCCTTGCATAGGCCGGAGACTGTAGGCCAGTTTGTGTTAGCCATCCTTCATGGGCGATCAGTTTCTGACCACTGAGCCGCACTTGGCTGGAGTTTATTGGGCAGCAGTGGAAAAAGTTGACATTTATTGAGTGGTTTATTTTATTCCTGACCCCCCTGTCTGCCCCTCCTTTAGGCGCGAGACTCCGGCCGGCCCCCCCTGTCCTCCACAGCTGTGGTGAGCGTGCGTGTGATAGAGGAGAGCGTCCACAGGCCCGTGGTGTCTCCGCTACACGTCCACATCATCACCATGGAGGACGAGTTCCCGGGCGGCGTGATCGGCCAGATCCACGCGACTGACCAGGACACCTTCGACATCCTGACCTACGGACACACGCACCAGCAGAACAGCCTCTTTAAGGTGGCTTTAAAGCGATAGTTCAAACAGTATCCCCCCCAGTAGTCAATCAAGACATGTTTGGGGTGCTTCTTTAATTCTGCAGTGGAGCTACAAGGCTAATGCTAACAACTAATGAAAGCTTATGCTCTACCTATTAGCATTATGCTAACTTGCATGCTTAAATTAGAAGTATGGGCACAATTCAGGCTGCTACTGTTTTTAGCTTTATGCTAAAGTACTTTAGTCCATGTTTATAGGTAACAGTGTATCATACAGTATCGTAAACCACATAATCTAGTCTATTAGAGAATATTAAAGGGCCCATATCATGGAAAACTGAGTCTTCACTTTTTTTTTTAAACAAGGTTTGATGTAGTACACACATTCTCAACATCGTAAAATGTACCGTTCGCTCCCCAGCCCACGCAGTCCACTTTTGAAAGTTTTGAATTCATAGTTTTTGTGATGTCACAAAAGCCAATGCATTTACATACAGCTTTCTACCCGGCCTAGAGTAGTTTAGCCTCGCTCGTTCACGGTGAAGTTAAAAAGAATGTTTTGGCACTGTCTGCTTTTTTATCAGACCTTATTTCATTATTTCAGGGCAGCCAATCAAAACTTAGAACATACATCAAAATAAAAAATAAAAATAGAAAAAAATAAAATAGAAAAATGTAGAATATGGGCCCTTTAATGACCAAGATTCTGATGAAAATGAAGAATACCGGCCCTTTAGTGACCAAGATGGTGATGAAAATGTAGAATATGGGCCCTTTAATGACCAAGATTGTGATGAAAATGTAGAATATGGACCCTTTAGTGACCAAGATGGTGATGAAAATGTAGAATACTGGCCCTTTAGTGACCAAGATGGTGATGAAAATGTAGAATGCTGGCCCTTTAATGACCAAGATGGTGATGAAAATGTAGAATATGGGCCCTTTAATGACCAAGAGTGTGATGATTCCAACCATGCTGCTCTCTCTCTCTCTCTCTCTCTCCCTCTCTCTCTCCAGGTTAGCCCCCGTGACGGCCGGATAATCGCTCTGAGCGGTCTGGACGCCGGCCGTTACTCTCTGAACGCGACGGTGTCCGACGGTCGTTTCTTGGTCAGCGTCCCGGTCAGTGTGGAGGTCTCCGAGGCGTCGCCGGCGATGCTGCGTGAGGCCGTCACCGTCCGCTTCGACCGCGTCGACCCGCACGACTTCGTCCACCGACACCTGCCCGCCGTCCGCCGCGCCATCGCTGTCGCCATGGCGACGCCCCCATCTCGCCCCGAGGCCCTGCGGGTGCTCAGCGTCCAGCCTGTGGAGGCCACGGGTCAGCTGGACCTGTTGGTCGCCGTGGAGACGCCCGACGGAGGCGGGTACTATAAGGTACGGGGTGGGAGGTGTGTCGCTGTAAAGGCCCGGTCACATTCCAAGCCCAATTTACATTCATTTCAGTGGAAATCATTTTTCCGTTTCATTCATTACTAAGTCAGGCCGTGAATTAGGATCTCGTTCCCATGCTTTACTAAGTCGTGGCCACGCATCATTTTCATTTATAAGCAGTCATGATAATATATATCATAACATTGTGTGTCAGTATATAATAACGTTACAATATATATGATAGTTTATTAATTAATTTGTTTGTTTAAAATCAATAAATATTAGTATGTTATGACATTTGTTCATGTACACCTGTGGGTCCTGCAGGATTTCTCAGTTAGCTAACTGAAGCCCAGACCTGAGGACTGTCCAATAAGAATGTACCTCAGCTCGTCTCCTGTTGGTCAGGCTTGACTTTGGGCTAAAGTTATCTGGCTAAACTGAGAAATCCTGCTAATTCTTCATTGACTGATATATTGTCACTGTTTGACCGGAGAGTGCTGTGATATGAGTTCCTGCTGTCCACCACCAGGCGGCGTTTGTGAGTCAGAAGCTGAGCTCTGCGCGCAGGCAGCTGGACTCTGTACTGCGCGTGTCGGCGGTGCTGGATAAGAACTGCTCGGGGCTGGACTGCAGAGAGGCTCAGTGTGAGCAGAGCATCACCCTCGACTCCCACTCACTGCTCACGTACAGCTCCACCAAGACCAGCTTCGTCTCCCCGCGCTTCCACAGGAGCACTCGCTGTGTGTGCAGCGGTCAGTACACACACACACATACACACACACTCACACATACAGTTATATACACACACACTTACAAAAACACACACACGCACATATACACACAACACACATACACACACACACACACACACACACACACATAGTTATATACACACACACACAAAAACACACACACACACACACACACACACATATATATACACACAACACATACACACACGCTCATATACACATACAGATATATATACACACACTCACGCACACAAACACACACACACCTACACACACACACATACACACACTCACACATACACACACCTACATACATATATACACACACACACATATACACACATACATACACACACCTTCATACCTATACACAAACACATATACTTACACACACACCCACATACAGATACACACACACACACATGCAGATATACACACACACATACACACACACATACAGATATATACACTCACACACTTACAAAAATACACACACACAAAAATACACACACACAGATATATACACACACATAAACACTCACATATATACACACAAACACACGCATCATTTTTATTAGTGTTAGTTTTATTGGAGAATGTTGATCTTAAAATATCAATATATGATATATATTATATAGAACTCACAGAAATATAATGTTTATTTATTTTATTCACTTTTTGCATCTCTCTCTCTCTCTATCTATGTCTCTATGTCTCTCTCCCCTCTTATTTTTCTCTCTTTCTCTCTCTCTATCTCTCTTTCTCTCTCAGACGGTAGTTGTTCTGCTGTGTCTGAGGTGTGTGAGGACATGGCGTGTCCAGGTGATATGCAGTGTGTGAAGACGGACAGTAACAGAGGACCGTACGCCTGTCAGTGTCCGCCGGGGAAACTCGGAGAGTGTGCAGGTGTGTGTGTGTGTGTGTGTGTGTGTGTGTGTGTGTGAGGGTTTCAGACATCGTTTTTGCTGATATCGATAAACCCACAGGTTGCCAATATTAGCAGCACCCCCCTGATTTCAGGACTGCGTCTGCTAAAATAATTGCTAAAATAGTTATGTTAAATTCTATAATAGTAATACGGAGCTGAACTTTTTAAAAATGTGTGTGTAGCAAAGACTTGCAGACTTGCTTTAGAGAGAAGTTCGTATTTTTCCATTTTTATTTATGGTTTTAAATTTTAAAGTTAACACTGTATTTTCATCACAGTGGACCGAATCGCTTCCCGCGACAACAGCCGGCCACTCTGGGGGGTGCAAATCTCACCCACATGCAGGCTGAGGTTTAAAGAGGAAGTGTGTGCAGAGATAGAGGCCAGATCTGAACCCCAGAGCAGCCTAATACTGTTTCTAAACTTCTTAAAAAACAATCTTCATTATATAATAATAACATTTTATCAGCCGTTTGATGTGCATTCTGGTACTGAATCTCACTGCATGACTGTGGACGTAACACAGTCAGTTACAGCACCACATATCAGCAATCTGATTGGTCGCCAGTCAGCTCATTTGCATAAGCTTTGTCAAGAGCGAGAGAGCAGAGTGAAGATGTGTGTCTGATGTGCAAGTTAAAGTATCAAAAAAGTTCAAATGGAAAAAAGGCAAATATTTGTTAATGTCAGGTATATTATGCATACATTATTTCAGCACCACCAGCATTCGCTGTGCACTCTGGTCCCTGACAGTGGTTAAGCTGTAATGTGAGAGATCTGCCTTTAGGATGAAGCTGTCTGGCTGTAAATCCTGCTTTGTGAAACACCACCGAGTTAAACACGGGTGAAAGATGCTCTTGTAAGTGTTAGGAGCTGCTGTTGTCCAGCAGAGGGCAGCAGAGTGCTACTTTTGCAGGTTTGCAGGAAGAAGGTGAACGTGATGTTAAAGCTGTGGGCCTGGCCGAGCACCGCTGAGTCAAAAATCCTGCCGTGTCACACCTATAAGTTGATGCTGGGCTTATTTTGGGAAACATTTCCCCCCCAGAACGCCTGCTTGATGTTGAGGATCTGTTTTAATAGAATTGAACATTCTTTTTCAGCTCATTCCTGCTGTGTGTGCGTCCTGTTTGTGTTTGCGCTGTAGGCCACACGTCTCTGAGTTTCTCCGGGAACAGCTACATAAAGTACCGTATAATCGACGGAGGGAGGAGAGAAGAGATGAAGCTGCAGCTCCGGATCAGAACGCTGCAGAGTAAAGGCATCATCATGTACACTCGGCCGGAGCCGTGCACCGTGCTTAAGGTAACACCTTATAACAACAACCACAACAGCAGCACCTGTCAGTGTAGTTGAGTTCTGTGGCAATGACGGGGCCAAAGCACCGAGTGACGTCTTTAAGACGTTAAAACATCTATAACAAAAACACTGATGTGAAAAAAACGCTGAGTCGTTCTTTCTTATTCCGTTATGCTACTATTATTCTGTTTCAAAATTTTAACAGCGTAGGTCACGTTTACGCTACCACTCAAAAGTTTCAACCAGAAATATATAACCAGTTTTGTTGCAGTTCCTAAATTTTCATATAATGCTAGCTCTATGCAGCTGTAAGTTGGAAAGTTCTGAAACTTCTGCATCTGCAAAATGTTTTGGCAGTTTGAAAATATTTAGACAAATATAATAACAGTTTATTATTTATTGATAAATAACTATCTATTGTCCCCACAATGCATCAGGGCTAATTTTTATTTTTATTAATTAATCTTATAATAAATTATACTTTTAACATTTAAATTATAATATTTAAAATGTATAAGTAATGAATAAAAAAATGTTTGGGCAATAAAAAGTTAGGGGTCAAATTTCTTTCTCTTTTACAGATTTTTAAAGTAGAATACATTAATACATCCTCTACATAGAACAAACTTCTATACATTTTATTCTGTGCATATTGGGAAAAAAAAATATATATATATATAAAATGTGGCCTGAACAAAAGTTGAGGAACATTTCATATTTTATGTAAAAAGCACATGATTTTTTAAAAACACTTACAAAACTCCAAGAAAGTCCCCACATGCACACTCCCTCCCTGTAATGTACTGATTTGACTATTCTGTATGTGTATATAAGAAAAATTAAAAGGCAAATGGACAACAAACTCAATCTAATCTAATCTAATCTAATCTAAGGAAATCTCATTTTCTCTGAGCTCCACCTCCTTCTGTGTTTGATTGACAGATTGAAGATGGCCGTCTCTGGTTCCAGCTAGACTGTGATAAAGGTGGTCCCGGAGTGCTGGGCATCTCCAGCTGGCCCATAAATGACGGGAACTGGCACCAAGTGACCCTGGAGCTGGGTGGGAACTTCAGCAGCCTGTCTCTGGATGACGGCTCGGTGCTGCGGCGCCAGGCTCCGCCCAGGTTCCGTCCACCGGGTTCCGATTGGTCACTGTATTTCGGGGCTCAGGTACTGCCGCCAGACACCCGCGGGCTGACCGAGCGGAAGGCCCCACGGGTCAGTAACGGGTTCCAGGGCTGCCTGGACTCCATCATTCTGAACGATAATGAGCTCCCGCTGCAGAACAAGCGCAGCCGCTATGCCGAGGTGGTGGGGCTGTCCGAGCTCAAACTGGGGTGCGTCCTGTACCCGGATGCCTGCGCCAACCAGCCCTGCCTTAACGGCGCCACCTGTGTCAGCCTGCCCTCTGGAGGTGGGTGTTTTAGGTTTTCATTTTTTCTGCATTTACTGTTTTCCAAAATTAAAAATTAAATAAAATATTAAATATTTGGAATCAGTGTTTTCAATAATATAAAAATAATTTTGGTAAATGCGCTAAAGGATTCTAAATGTTAGTCCATGTTAGCAACTTCACAGGTTTCAAAAAATTAGCAGAATGCTATAAAAATGTAATTAATTAATTAATTTAATGTAATTTATGTATGTAATGTAATTTTATGTAATTTAATTGCATGATTACATGGTTAGTTACACAATGAATGTTTGTTTTGATAGGAAAAAAAATACATTTAATAGATTTAATATATTTACATTTTTGTTTCCAATTCATACATTCACAAAAATAACTTCTCCTTTATGTTTTCAGTGTTAAAAAATGACAAAAACTAGGCAAAATCTGTAAAAGACGGTTTTCAAATGTAGAATGCAGTGAACGTTTTCAACAGAAGTGCATGAAATACAGTCAATAATTAATATAAAATTACACCATGATTCTGTTATCACTAATACTGAGTTAATCAGTACTTGGTAAGGTTATCAATATATGAATTAAAACAATAATAAAACCTTATATCTGCTGCAAAATTTATATACATGCAAGACTTTATAATGTCATAGTATGTATATTTATAGTTAGTCATAAATTAAAAACGCTTAAATGTGTGTTAAATTAACACCTTGTCCTGCACCCACAGCATCAGTCAGGGCATTTGCTGGATATGATATTCTGTATAAATATTAATATCGGTGCATCCCTTGAGTGAGTACGCAAGTCTCTGTGTCCTCATGAAGCCCGTCTCCTGAGGACGCCTTCATACTTATTGCATAATTAATCCACGCTCGTCGTCAATGGATGTGATTATACTCTTATTCTGCTGTAATTACTGTACAGCTGAGCCCTGTTCACCTCATAATTAACACACACCACGTCTTCTGTTCTGAATGTGTGTGTGTGTGTGTGTGTGTGTGTGTGTGTGTCTTTATGTTTGCCTGAGTTGACTTTGGCCACATTTTGGGGACAAATGTCAGAATACACACCTGCAAACTGGGGACCTCCAGACAACCGGGGACAAAAAAATCAGAGTCCCCAGTTTTCAACCTATATACACTTGTGTGCAAAAGTTTGGGTACCCTTGGTCAAGCTTGTTGAGATGCATCTATACCATTTTTTTCAGACGAGTATGAGTACATACGTTTAGTACTCACCAATACCGAGTCTGAGTAACTTACTGCCACTTGTTACTCCTGAGTAACCTACTTAGAATGAAGTAGTTGTTAGTGTAAATGAGTGCAATATACCTTAACAGTTAAATCATTAAAGTCTAGCTGATTTGTTAGCTTGGATTGAGTAGCGCTACAGTGGAAATGAGTTTTGTCAGAGCAGCACTTGTAAGCAGCTGCATGTTTCATAGTTTCATACTCACACTTTACAAAACACAGCCTTTACAGACAGCTCAGTCGACGAACAATTTCAAACAAAGCCGTTTTATGCAAAATAATATGTTATGCACTGAGTACTGAGCAAAGAGAAACTGAGCAGTGCTGCTAACACTGAGCACTGAAGCTAAAAACAGGTGGTGATGTACATGATAGGACAGTAGTCTCTTTACAGCCTGATTTACAAAAAAAAAATCACCGTATTAATGTTTATATCTCGAAATTCTACTTGGTCAAACAGAGTAAAGTTGGTATATACGGACTTTGGTAGCAAATGTTGACTTTCTTGCCTCCTTTTTTTTAGCCCTTACTTTCTTACTAGAGAAACTTACCAGTCATTTTCGTCATGATAGCAAAACTAAAGAAACACTGCATCTCTGTTTGACCGATTTTAACAGCTTCTGCAGGTAAAACAAGCAAAACATTCACCACGAGGCTGAAGTTGACTTTTTATCCGCCTGCTTTGTATTGGAATTTGTCGTTCCACCTTAAATGGTGCAGCAGTCAGGCACTGGATTGTAACTGCTGCACCATTTAAGGTGGAATGGAAAATCCACGGAAGAAGCTGCTGGCGAAAAAAGTCAACTTCAGCTTTGTACATTCACCATCATTTTGCTGTCATTTCTGTAAACGTTGTACAACTTTTGGTTTCTGTTTTTGTTTAAATTCAGTTCAAATTACCACTTGTTTTTAATTGGCTGAGCTCATTTTCATGCTGAGTTCGTTTTTATTTTAATCCTGTGCACCCAACATTCTCAAAAAATCATCAAAATTTATCTTTTAATATAAAGATTGTTTAAATTAAGTTCAGTAGTACTTTTGAAAATATCTTGACTCGGGACTCTAGGTTGACCTAAAAGTGTTAATGTGTGCGTTTGTGTGTGATTAATGTGTGAATTAATGCTGCGTCTCTGAGCTCATCTCTCCTCGTTAATCTTGCACTGTGAATAATTGGGGTTTTACTTTTACTCCGTTTGTTCTGCAGGAGACAAACAGCTCTAATAACTCACCTGATCAACTCCTCAGTCACTGATACTGAACGCTGACTTAGTAGCTGTTAGCGTGTCTTTTTAAAACTAGTCGCACAATTGACCTGTTTATGCTCCGCTCACGAAAAGTTATTTCATAGTTATATAAAAGTTATGTGAGAAAATGGACAGCAGTCTCTCATTTTAAGACTGTTGTAGGCTCATTGCAAGATTATTTAACTTACTTTTAGGCATTTTTACTTGTTTTAAGTGATTTTAGTAAGTTAAGTTTAGTCATTTCACTCTGTTGGCAGATAAGTTGGCTTGTTTTAGGCATATTTCTTACAAAAAGCACAATTATCTGCCAATATACTGGGATCATTTCTTACTAAAATCACTTAAAACAAGTAAACATTGTTTAAAAATGCATTAAATAATCTTAAAATGAGAAATATTATGTATCAACTGTATTTAAAACTTGCCAATATATCATTTTTTACAGTGCAGTAACTAAGTGAAGATGATTTTGCTCGTTTCAAGCATTATTTCTTGGAATAAATGTATTTTACATGAGCATCAAAATTTAACATTTGAAACAATTAAAATTATCTGTCAGAGAAATGACGCTTTAACTGGATGAAATGACTTAAAACAAGTTAAAAATGTTATAATATTTTCATAACAAACTCAAAAAGAGAAATGTTAGATAAATTGAATAGATTTAAGATGTTTTCACCTCCTTAGTTCCTTAGATATCATTGGTACGTACTACAATACCGAATTAAAATCAGTGTTAACAGTTTTTGATTGTATGTTTTAAATGTAGCACAGCCGACTCTTTTTCTCTGTTCCAGCTATAAAGTTGCGTATCGTAAAATTGAATATATTTCAGTATCGTGATATTACATTTTTGCCATATTGCCAACCTCTACTGCAATCTGACTCGTAGCAATCTCATGCAATCTGACTCGAAACATGAAAAGTGTAAAGTTTGTAAAGTACATTTATAGACTGCTTTCTTTTACAGTTAAGTTAGAATCATTATGCAGAGCTGAAATGAATACGTAAATAAAATCACTTAGAAAAACGACGTGTAAATAATGAATGTGTACAGTATGAATATAATCCAGATTTTTTAGTTATGAGTAGAACTGAATGATGCAAACAGTGTAAACGTAACATACCGTGAATCTCTGTTTGTTTTATTCAGGTTTCTCCTGTAGCTGCAGTGCACTGCACACCGGGGGGCGCTGTGAGACCGAGATCAGCGTGTGTGTGCCGAACCCCTGCCAGAACGGCGGCGTGTGTAAACCCATCGGGAACGCCTTCATCTGCAGCTGCAAGAGGGGATACACTGGAATCACGTCAGTACACACACACACACACCACTGTATCAGCTCCACTGACCATACAGGTCCACTTTGTAGTTCTACAGTTACAGACTGTAGTCCATCTGTTTCTCTGCACCCTGTTCTTCAGTGGTCAGGACCCCCATGGACCCTCACAGAGCAGGTACTATTTGGGTGGTGGATCATTCTCAGCACTGCAGTAACACTGACGTGGTGGTGGTGGTGTGTTAGTGTGTGTTGTGCTGGTCTGAGTGGATCAGACACAGCAGTGCTGCTGGAGTTTTTAAACACTGTGTCCACTCACTGTCCACTCTATTAGACACTCCTACCTTGTCAGTCCACCTTGTAGATGTAAAGTCAGAGACGATAGCTCATCTGCTGCTGCGCAGTTTGTGTTGGTCATCCTCTCGTCCTTCATCAGTGGTCACAGGACGCTGCCCACAGGAGGGGATGTTTTCGGTTCTCAGTCCAGCAGTGACTCTGAGGAAAAGAGGTTCTTCAAGTGTTCCTTGGTAAAGAGTGAAGGACGAGGGGATACAGTGTGTGGCTTTGGCTTTGTTCCCGGTGTAGGACGTTTGGCAGGTGTTCCTGAAGTTTTTGCCGTTTTTTTTTAATGATAAAAAGATCCAATCAGCTCCTGTTTAATATGTTAAGTTATTGCAAACCAACAGAAAAAGTAGCTGATTTATTAAAAACTTTCAGAAAAGTTCGTTTTTCCCCAAAAAGTGCCAAAAGCTGCTTTTTCCTTTTGTTCTCGGTGACACTTCTGATTGTTATCCAGAAGGTCCAGCAATCTGTCGAGGGTCATTTGCATTTCAGACCCTGTTTTAGATTTAATTTTCCGATAAGGAGCCCGGCGGACTGAAAACACTTCCCATATTACACTGTAAGCAGGATTATATTCAAACTTTGTGAATTACAAACTAACTGCAGTAGCACCGGCCACTTTATCAGAAACCCCTGCCTTGTAGCTCCATCTGTAGCCCATCTGCTGATGTACAGTTTGTGCTAGTCCTTCATCAGTGGTCAGTTTCTGACCTCAGAGCTGATATTGGCTGGATATGTTTATCAGCCTTGCTGTACCTCATTCATCATCAGGTCCACCTCCTAAATAATATCTGGAGCACAGCAGTCCTGTGGTCAGAAACTGACCAGTGATGAATGGGTTATATAAACATCTGTATAAGGTTAGTGTTTCTAATAAAGTGGCCAGTTAGTGGAAGCACAAGGTGGGTGTTTCTAATAAAGTGGCCAGTGAGTGGAAGCACAAGGTGGGTGTTTCTAATAAAGTGGCCGGTGAGTGGAAACACAAGGTGGGTGTTTTTAATAAAGTGGACAGTGAGTGGAAGCACAAGGTGGGTGTTTCTAATAAAGTGGCCGGTGAGTGGAAACACAAGGTGGGTGTTTTTAATAAAGTGGACAGTTAGTGTTCCATCCTTCGGTCAGTTTTACTGCAGTGCTGTCTGTCAACAGCAGAGGGCAGCATTTATCTGTTTTTTTTTTCACCACAGGAAGCGTTCATTCTTTCTGCTCAAAGTTTCTGCTCTCTCTCTCTCTCTCTCTCTCTCTCTCTCTCTCTCTGGTCAGAGGAAGATTACACCGCTGCAGTCTCTCCTGGGCTATGCTAATGCACTTCATTACTAACCAGAGGAACTGCGCTTTTATTTGGACATTTAACACTCGCTCACTGACACACACACACACACACACACACACACACACACACACACACACACACACTCTCACACACACACACACACACAAAACTTAAAACACTATTTTTCACAGGCCGAACTTTCGCTTACATTATATTTAGTCACCCATCCCTTCTATCTGTGACACACACACTCTTAGCACAACTTAATTAAAGCACGCACACACACACACACACACACACACACACACACACACACACACACACACACACACTCGGGTGCGTCTGTCTTTGATGTGCTCTGAAGAATAAAAATGAAACAGCCGAGTTAAGGACAGTGAAAAATGAATGCGCCACCTCAAAGACATTAAGAACACACACACGTATGAGAGTGTGTGTGTGTGTGTGTTTGAGTGTGTGTGTGTGTGTGTGTGTGTGTGTGTTTGAGTGTGTGTGTGTGTGTGTGTGTGTGGTTGAACATACTGCAAAACTCAGAGACCCCCTTTCTTTATTTAATATCAGGTCAAAACAGCCATAAAGTCTAAGTTCTTCATTTGTCTACTGTCAGCTGTGTCAGTGAGTCTCTCTCTCCCTTCATTCCAGCTTCCATTCTTTTCAGGAGCCTCACTTTCAGTTCCTCAAAGAATCTGCAGACACACCTCCAAAGTTCAGTCTTAGAAGCTGGTTGATCATTTTCTGAAGTAATCAAACCCATTCAGTGGTGTTGAGGTCTGGACTCTGGGGTGGTCAGTCCATCGTTCAGCTTCTTTGTTTGATGTGTCCGTCTCCTTTTCTCAGTGAGGTTCTTCTTGATCAGCTACACATCCTTTCAGACCCACAGCGCTGAGTCGTCTTCTCACAGTGGAAGGATGGACAGAAACACCTGTGGATGTTTTCAGATCTGAAGCAGCTTGATTTTCTCCTCTCTCTCAGAGATGAAAGCTTTAAGTGCTGTTTATCTGATGGGGGCAGTTTTGGGGTCGACCAGGTCTTCCAGGTGGTTGTTAGGAGCCCCATTGATTGTGTTTAATGGTCTCTCTCTCTCTCTCTCTCTCTCTGAAGGTGTGACTCTGATGTGAACGAGTGCGAGAGCGAGCAGTGTGAGAATGGCGGCGTGTGCGTAAACACCTTCGGCTCGTTCTACTGTAACTGCACGGTGGGCTTCGTCGGGCGGTCCTGCTCGGTGCGGCCGGTGCTGGTGCCAGACATGCAGGCGGGACACGCGTACGTGGGGAAGGAGGAGCTGATCGGAATCGCAGTCGTGCTCTTCCTCATCCTCACGCTCATCCTTCTCTTCGTCGCCTTCCGCAAGAAGGTAACGTCACACTGGACAGGTTACACTGGCGTCATCAAAGGGGAATTCCACTGAAATTTGCTAAATCTCCACCCTGTTCTAGAGAAACTTACCGAGTCAGAACTGTTCACAGTGGTGGTGATAGGAACCAGACGTCCACCTCTAAAAGCTCCCTCACAGAAAGTTACTACATGAAATTAGTTATGAATTCACTGCCTGATGACTGAGACACTGTTTAATGATAGGTTTGAGATGATTTCAGCCTTAAAATCCATTCATGGTGGAGGGATACATAACATACAGGGCACTGTGAGGCAAAATAGTCCCCAAAGAAAACTTATTATTTCAGATTTTCCACTATTTTCCATCATCAATATTCCATATAAACTCAGAAGACTCGTGTAGGTTCACTGGTGGTTCTGGATAGTAAATAAAATGTCTATATTTGAGTTGTAGTCATGGCGACCCCTGGTTCCCATCACCACCACTCTAAAGACATCTGAACCATATCACATCAGACTACTGTGAATGACTACTTCTGTACATTTTTACTTGTTTAAAGTCATTTTATTTAGTGAAATTTTACTTGTTTGAAATATTATTGCTTGAAATAAGCAATAAAAAATCTATACCGTCTATATATGGACAGTAAGTTTCAAAAACAGCCTGTTTTGCATTTGCCATGGTTGTGATGTCACAAACGTGGCCCGTTTAAAAATTACGTTAAAAATACATTCAATTGTCTGTATTTCTTGAATATATTACATTTGTTTTGTGTTTGTATGTTGTGTAGCTGTGTTCGTCTCGAGAATATTATTATTATTATTATTATTATTATTATTATTGTCTGTGCAGTCAATGTTTTCAAAATAAGCTGCAAAAAACAGCCTGCTTTGCGCTCCTCATGGTTGTAATGTCACAAACATGGCCACCTTTAGATCTTTTAGAAGTGCCTGCGATTGTTTAGTTGATCTGTTGGTCTGTATGTCTGTTTTGTAGATACTGAATGGCTGATTTTGCATATTTAAAGTGCTGTATGTATTTATAAAATGCATATTTTAATAATATTATAATCATTATTTTTACTATTTTTAAGGTGTTCCAGAAGAGCTACTCCAGGAACAACCTGTCTCTGGTCCAGGACCCCGCCACAGCCGCTTTGCTGCACAAAGCCAACGGCGGTCACTTCCCGCCCTTGCAGTCCGCCATGGGAGACCCCATTAACCTGTACACAGAAGGTGGCGGAGTCATAGTGGGACCGCCCCAGGTCCCGGTTCGCCCAATGGCGTACACGCCCTGTTTCCCTGGCGACGGGAGCCTGGAGAAGAGGGGCGGGACCAGGAGGGGGGCGGAGTTGACAGAGATGAGTACATTTCACCCGGCGACGGCAACCATGACGACGGAGTCTCCGCGGATACTGGGCGGGGCCACGCGGAGGGGCGTGGTTGTGTGCAGCGTGGCGCCGAACCTGCCGCCGTCGTCACCCTGCAGATCGGAGTGCGACTCTCTGCGGAAGAGCCCCTGGGAGGAGGAGGGTGAGGTCACACTCTGATTACACTGGTGTTTACTACAGTCAGGGCTGGACGATGTGGAGAAAATGCAGTATCGCGATACTGGAGAACATTTTCACGATCCACGATACACGTCTCCATAGTTTTTCATCAGCGGCCAAAAAACATACTGTGACATCATTTATCACGATAACGATAAAATATCGTCATATCGCCCACCTTTAACTGCAATTGTGATATTTAACGCGTAAAGATTAGCGTCATTCTGACCATAATGATTTACACCCACAGAACCTGTGATCAGCCAGATGCTTATGATTGGTTAGACAGCTCATTTGCATATTGCATATATGCCTTATTACATATTTAATATCTCGATTGCAACAGTATTTCATATCATGATAATGATCATCAAATCTCATACTGTGCAGCTCCAATATTAAAGTATTTAAATGCATATATTGTATCTACACGTCCTCTACAGAGAACACACTGAAATATTTTTGAAAAAATTTCTATGTATTTACTGAATTTAACATATTGGAAAACAACAAAACATAAAAGATAAAAATGTGCCATCATTTTGGCACAGGACACATTTTGTGCTGTTTTTCAGTATATAAATTCATAAAATAAATGTTAACGTTAAGACAAAGAGTAAAAATAAAAATTAATAATGAAGATAAAATAGAAGATATATATATATGTATATATACAGAAGTTGCAAAACACTCCAGTCAATGACGTGTTGTTGATTTTTGAAGTGAAAGTAATTAAAAAAATTGTGAAAATGAAAGTAAAAATAAATTATATATTCTATACTTTATATTATATACTCTCAAAAAAATAAATAAAATGTATTCATGTGTATACTGTGCAGTAGTGTGCAGTCTCTGTAGGGGATGTGTTTACTTATTCACACTCAGAAAATCAACCGTATGGAATTTGAGCGGGGGCGTGCTAAGTTTCGCACACGACTGAGCACAAATACACAAATACACAAAAATTTGACTCCATCATATTTTCTACTAAACCCTCCGCAGACAGCAGTGCAGCAGAGCAGCGCTGCTCCTCCTGTTGGTCAGCTGACCTCTTTAAGTTGTGTAATAATCCTGACCGACAGCGTCCGCAGCAGCGTCCGGCTGCGTTTCAGGGTTAATGACTTGAGATCAGTCCACGTGTTTCTCCTCCCAGAACTCCTCACCTCCTGACTCCTGTCAGATCACCAGCCTGCTTAACAGAAACCCTGAAAACGTCCACTCAGAGCGGATACTCACCGCTGTGATTTATGACCATAGGGGTGAACTGAGATTCCCTCTGTTAGAGGAAAACTTCAGCGCTTTTTTAGCCTGGTGTCTGTGCACTGCATCTGGACACTCACTGACCATGAACAGCAGCTTTTCTGAGGTCAGAAAACAGCCGAACGATGTCTTTTGTGCTGAATCATCTGCCCATTGACTCCCATTATAATAGTCGTTATTAATTTTAATACAAGCCCAAGGAAACATAAAGATATGTCTAACGACTGCACACGAAAGATAGATCAGCTTGAAAACGTGCTAAAGTGTTCATTACAGGTTTTAAATTAGATGTAGAAGAGGAGATACAGCCGTGTGCAAAAGTTTAGGCACCCCACGGCAAATGCTTTTGTTGACTATCTAAGTGAAAATCAGGCGTTCGCATCACAAGCCTCATCGCTCAAATCAATTTTTTGCTCAGATGCGTTCACACTCGTTTAGGTCAATCTGTCATTAATGTAAATGAACCAGCGACCTGAAACGACCCGCGCACGCACATCATAATCAATAACGTCACATGAACGAATCACACGCATCATGAAACTGACCAGCCGAGCCTTCGCTGTGAGGATAATTAGCTCTGATCGGCTCTCTGCTTCATTATTACAGAGAGACGAAGGCGAAAAGGGTCAGACATGTTGCTTTTTCACCGTTTACTGGCTTTAACTTCAGGTTCGGCGCTGCTGCCAGAGGAACACACAGTGGAAAAAAAAAGAAGCATGAATTCAGATCTGAGCGTTCACATTGAGGCCACAATTTAGGACCACATATGAAAGGCCTTTTTCAAACTGCCCACCTAAATCTGATTTACTGGCATATCCAGATTGATTTTTCATAGTCTGGACAGAAGAAAACACATGAAATCCGATTTCTAACATATCCAGATTGTATCCAGGGTGATTTTTGGTAGTCTGGACAGAAAGGAAACACATGAAATACGATTTTTGGCAAATTCAGGTTGTATCCAGATTAATTGTTGATAGTCTGAACAGAAAAAAAAACGTTAAATCAGATTTTTGCAAATTGGATCCAAACCACATTTGGAGCTGGTTTGAAATGTGATTCCAGTCGGATTTTTACAGATGCGTCTCAGTGTGGACGCTCAAATCGGATTTCAAAGTGTCTTTTGCGTCACTTGCAGCAACAATGTCCAATCCAGAGTGACGGAAGTGCTGGGATTGAAGAAGAGCTCCAAAGATTCCGATTCAGAGAATTCTGAAGAGTTCGGAGGGGAGATGAGATGATGCGCCTCCATCTCTCCTGCGTCCGCGATTGAAATCCACCAGTGTAGCTACATAGTTACTGACACCTACATTGTTACCACAACAACCCATGCAGATTACTTTGCTCTGCTTTAAGCTTTAGATCAGCTTTAGCTGCTTTTCTCGCATCTCTGGCAGGAAACTTTTCCTCAAACGTTTCTGTAGAACGTCTCTTAGCATTGACTTTTTACGAGGATTAAGTCGCTTCTCATTCGCCAGCTTCTTATTCAGATTTTCCCGTTCCACCTTAAATGGTGCCTGTGAGAATGTAACTGCTGCACCATTTAAGGTGGAACGGGAAAATTCGAATAAGAAGCTGGCGAATGAGAAGCGACTTCAGCCTTATGACTTAGTGTTCGTCAGTTTCTCGTTGCAGATTAAACGTATCAGGAAACCAGCTGGAGTGATTATAAACACAAATAAGTCCATTAGTCTCCAAATTATTGATGTTCATCTTAAATCTCTCTCTTTGCCGTTTCGTTAGCTACTAGCTAGGCGAGACTGTTGTCTGTGTTGCTATGGTGACCAGCAGTCTGCACTGATCTTCAGGGTTAAAGGGTGAATTAGCAGTTCTACAGAGGTTTATTTTATTTTTACCTACAAATCTAATTCAGCTGTGGAGCCACAACAGGGCAGTAAAAGAGCCACATGCAGCTCCGGAGACGCATGTTGCCGACCCCTGGTCTGAGGGCTTTTCCCTAAAATCAGTTGAAGAAAAACGTTTGCTTACATTTTCATTGTCGAAGCGTTGTGAGTTTGATCCCAGGTGATGCCCCAGCCATCCGTAAGTAGGAGTAATTGTCCTCTCTTTGGGTGGGTAGGATGGTCTTTCCTCTCCCCTCCATCACTAACCACAACGCTAGCCAATGTCTGTTAGCTGACATAACAGAATTAGCAGTTATCATTCTCGAAACGTGTTGAGCTCCAATGACGTTTCGTTAGCGTCAGTTTTAGATGTGGTAAAGCTTCACACGTCTCGGAAGAGGCACATGCTGGCCTTCACCCTCCCAGCACGGGGGTGTCATGTGACTAGATAGTGGGTGGAGTTGGAACATGACTATAACAGTCGGCTGATGCCGTCGCAAAATCAAAAGATATCCGGTGCTGTAATTGATTAAATAGTAAAATATTAGAGAAAATATTTGACTTTTTTTAAGAATTGCATTTCAGAGCATTCTTATAAGCATCTCAGTGATCCTCTTATGGTCATTTATTAATATTTTTTTGGGAAGCTTTCACAAATAAAGTCCCTGAATATTCCATTTTTAAAAAATTATTAAAAACAAATTGAAAAATACAATCATTTCTTTTGATTTTGCTTCTCTTTTGCCTTGACATTTTTCAGTACATCAGTATCTGCAGTATATATATATATATCTGATGTATTTTGTGATAATAATCAGACTATTTGACTGGCATTTGTTATTAAATCCGAGATTCACGGTTCCGTTTTCTACAGGCTGATAAATGGAAGCCCAGATTGGCCGTAAAAATGTCCGTAATTGAATAGAACGTCAGGAAAACGTCGCTGGGCTGGTTTATGTATCCCAGACTGCACTCTGTCTAGACTCAAGGTCTAGAAGAACTGCGTGTTATGTCAGCATCAGAATGAATGACTGAGGTGGGGGGGTGAGACGGGGGTGGGGGGGAGGAAAGGAGAAAAAAGAGAATGAAAAGATTAAAAAGAAAAGTTCAGAGGATCGACTCGCTCTGAGATGCCACTTTAAATGTGTTCTCTCAGTCTGACTGCTGACGCTCGGAAAGCGGCGCAGTGTTTGTGTACGTGCGCTCGCGCTCGTCGTGTTTACTTTTATTTATTGATTTATTGGAAACACTTTGTTGTAACACTTCACTGTAGTGAATGTGGAGGACGAAACACACCCAAACAGTGAGGAAGTAAGTAAGTAAATAAATAAATAAGTAAATAATGGGAAAAGATTATATAATATAATAATACAAAATTAAAAAACAAAACAGATAAATAAGTAATGTAATGGATAAATCAATGAAAAAAATAAACAAGTAAATAAATACATAAATATGGGGAGACATTATATAATATAATATAACAATATAACAATATAATGAATGAATGAATAAATAAATACATAAATAAATAAATAAGGGGAACATTATATAATAAAATAAATGTCATGTAATTAATGAATGAATAAATAAATTAATAAATATGGGGGAAATAATATAATATTATAGAAAAATAATGTAATGAATGAATGAATAAATAAATAAGGGAATAATTATGTAATGTAAAATAAAATAATATAACAAATAAATAAGTAACGTAATGGATAAATGAATGAATAAATAAAGAAGTAAATAAACACATAAATATGGGGAAACACTATATAATATAAAATAATAGAATAAATAAATAAGTCATGTAATTAATGAATGAATTAATAAATGAACAAATTAATAAATAAATACATATGGGGGAACATAATATAATATAATATAATATAATTCATGTAATGAATGAATAAATAAATAAATAAATAAATAGATAGCTAGCTAGCTAGATAGATAGAAAATAAATAAATTTGACACCTATAACAGTAAATATAAATCATATGTAAATCAATTAATATCTAAAATGGTTTATGAATACATAAATAAATGAGTGAAGTATATACATATGAGCAGAAACTGTCCAGTTTGCTACGTTCCTTCCTCAGTATGGTATGCAAAACTTAAATTACATTTAATATGACTTAAATATGGCGTTTTTCAGCAAATTTTACTGCAGTTTCTATTTATTTATTTATTTAAAAAGTAAATGTTCCATAACTTTTGAGCAGGCCATGTTTTATTGCTTATTCCCCTCAGTGTGTTAAACGCAGCACATTGACTGTGTATTACAATGTGCAGGAATGAGTCTCTGTGGAGGTTGTGTTCAGTTGTTTGACCAGGGGCGCTCTGACATTTGCACACAGCTGTATATGTGACTGAGAGCTGAAAGGACGTTGTTCTGCTGATAAAACGTCTCTCCGCAGTGTTTATGTCTCAGTCTAGCCGCTGTGATTGCTGCCATTGTTAAAGGAAGTCTGCTGACAACACGCCCCCCTTTCAGCGCTGCCTTCAACTGAACTGCCCTCAGCAGCCTCGGCTCACCTCACAGCACAGTCTGACCGGGGCGCGCTAACTTTCGCAAACGACTGTAACAGGATGCTGATGATGTGACGTAGCTCATATATGATAAATGCTAGAATGCTAAACTCGGTACGGTGTACAGGGTGGGGTGTATAGAGGAAGAAGCTCAACCATGGTTGTTAAGGTGTTTCCAGGCAGTTACTATGATACTTTAAATGATTGTTAGAGTGTTGCTAGGTGGTTGCTATGGTATTCCAAGTAGTTGGTATGGTGTTGGTGGGGGGTTACTAAGGTTGTCCATGGTGTTGCTAGGTGGTATACCAGTTGGTTGCTAGGCAATCGGTATGATATCCCAAGTGGTTTCTAGAGTGTCGCTAAGGTGTTTCTGTTGTATGCCAGGTGGTTGCTAGGGTGTTGCTAGAGTGTTGCTATGTAGTTCCTAGGGTGTTGCTAGGTGGTTGCTATGATATCCGTTGTGGTTGCTTGGGTGTTGCTAGTGTGTTGCTAGGTGGTTGGTATGGGATCCCAGCTTCCTATGTTATCACAGATGATAGCTATGGTGTTGCCAAGTAGTATCGCAGTTGGTTGCTAAGCAGTCGCTATGGTATCCCAAATGGTTTCTAGGGTGTTGCTAGGGTGTTGCTATGGTATCCTAGGTGGTTGCTTGGGTGTTGCTAGTGTGTTTCTATTTAGTTGCTAGAGTGTTGCAAGGTGGATGCTATGGGATCCCAGGTGGTTGCTAGGATGTTGTTAGGCAGTTCCTATGGTATCACAGATGATTGCTATGGTGTTGCTAGGTGGTTTCCAGTTGGTTGCTCTGCGATCATTATGGTGTTCCAGATGGCTTCTAGGGTGTCCCTAGGGTGTTGCTATGGTATCCTAGGTGGTTGCTTGGGTGTTGCTAGTGTGTTCCTAGGTACACACTGGCTTCTAGGGTATCCTAGGTGGTTGCTTGGGTGTTGCTAGTGTGTTCCTAGGTACACACTGGCTTCTAGGCTGTTCCTAGGGTGTTGCTAAGAGGTTGCAATGGGATCCCACGTAGTTGCTGGGATGTTGTTAGGCAGTTCCTATGGAATTACAGATGATTACTATAGTGCTGCTAGGTGGTATCCCAGTTGGTGCTAGGCGATTGCGATGGTATCCCTATTGGTTGCTTGGATGTTGCTAATGTGTTGCTAGGGGGTACTATGGGGTCCCAGGTGGTTGTTAGGATGTTGTTAGGCAGTCCCGAAGGTTAGGCCGCTCCTGTGGTATCACAGATGATTGCTATAGTGTTGCTAGGCAGTATCCCAGTTGGTTGCTAAGCAGTCACTGTGGTATCCCAAATTTGGCCAACTTCAGCCTCTTTAGAAACAATTTATATGAATCACTGTTAGCCTAGCACTAACAACAGAAGCTAGCATTATCATTAATGTGTTTTTTCCTCATATTTTGGCCGAGTTTTGACATTTATGGCAAGAGCTCAAGACCCGACTCACTGTTTTAACTAGACTAATCACAGTGGACAAATTAAAGATAACAATATACCAACTTTTACAGAGCTGCTAATTTTATTTCATAAAGAAATCACAAACATCGAATCCCAGTGTTTGCTCCTGCTTCAGTGTTAGGGAGCGTCTCAAAATTACTGCAAGAAAATAGGTGTAAACTCGTTGTGGGAATGAAAAAGTAACAGGTAAAGCAAAGAGATGAATGAAGAAGATTGCGTTTACTATGTTTTGACCCTTGACCTTTCTGTGTGTAGGTAAAGTGGACGTGCTGGAAGAGGTCACTTGTTTCTCGGGTAGCAATAAAGGCAGCAACTCTGAGGTCCAGTCACTGAGCTCCTTTCAGTCTGACTCCTGCGACGACAACGGTAAGCCCCGCCCACCTCTGCATCACCGCCAGGGAAGAGTGTGTGAATAGAAATACTGTGTGTGTGTGTGTGTGTGTGTGTGTGTGTGTGTTTAGAAGCCTTGGTTTTCTACCCTGATTGGTCAGTGGTGGTTTGTAAAATATTGTGAGGCCACATTTGGAGGGTTTGTTTATCCCTAAAAGTCTTGTTTACTAAGCATTTGGCGGAGACTTCAGTCAAAATTGGACGAATTCTGCCTAAAGTCACGTACGGAACTGATGCGCAAGTCTGAGCGCAGTTTATGGGCACGAAAGATACATTAGACAAAATACGCATTTAAATACGCAGGCAAAACTTCGCAGGACATGGGCGGAGCTATTAGAAGTGGGGTTGATTACCTACGCTGCTTGAGTAACTAGCGGTGGCAGTGCAAACTGACTGAGTTCCCAAAAAGCATAAGGGCTGTGGAACCCCTGGAGGGTCCTGGCCATTTAAGCGGTAAATCAGAGCGAAAGACATTTTGACAGATTGATGGAGAACGTGTTGTATATGGTTCCCTATTTCTCTTTTTGAAAATGGTTCTATGTAGCACCTAAAAGTGTTCTTCTATTGTTGTCAAGCTTGCAACAGTAGAAGAACCCTTTTTGGTGCTGTAGAACTATATACAACACATTCTCCATCAATCTGAGGAACAATTTCAACATGCAAAGAATCATTTAAGCATGCAGATTGTTCAGGGTTCTATATAGACCTAAAGAACCCTTGAAGAACCATCTTTTTTAAGAGTGTACCACTTGGCCTCGCCATTTTTCTTCGTTCTGAAAGGATGTTCCCGTTAGAGAGCTAACTCAAGTGACACTTATTAGATGAGGCCTAGAACCCAAGTGTCAAATTTGGCAGTAGAACTCACCCAGAAATTACCTTTTCACACCCCAACAAAGACAATGGCAGAAGATGTTTATAAGCCCCAACAGTCAAATACGTACTTAATGCTAAAATGCTTAATATTTCAAAAGCATAGCATTCAGTTTGCTGGGCTTATGGTTGCATCTGTTACACATGAACATCATTACTTCTGTTGTTAATCGTTGGCAGGAAGCTGGTGTATTGTAGAGCCCTCCTGTCCAGCTTCATCCCAGCCTAGCCTTGCTAAATATGACAGTTCTGACAAACAGGTTTTCCACAATACAATAAGTGCAATGAACTAAGCACTCCATTCAAAAACTGTTCTGAATGCAGAGCTGAGACCAGAGTCGGTGTCTTCACTGATGATTAACGCTCCGGGGTATTTTCTTGACTTATATGTTCATACATTCAACTTCAAAGCCTCTTCCATACAACATGATACCCATATATTATATATCAAAACGTTTAGAACAATCTCAGCTCTCTCTATAATGAGGTTCGTTTGACCTGGAGCACTGTGTACGCAGATAATCCAGCCCTAAAGCTAAAAAACTCAAGTCTGGTTTTGGAAATTCTTAATATCTCTTGTGAAAACACAGCTTTGCTCCTGTGGACAAATTGTTTTGGTGCTTGAGATGGGTTTATTAAAGTCTTAGGTTTGCACACAATTTCACACAACTGAACGAAAAAATGAAGGGTTTCCGGCGTGATGGTCAGTCCTTAGTGATTTCCTGAGTGTCCATTGGTCAGTTTCACACAGAATGTAGATGGACACATAAATCCACCAGCTCCACATGGTGAGAGGCAGATGACGTGTATCTCAGCCCCTCTTCATAGGCTCATAACTCCGGATGTGAGTCTTGTATGATCTCGTGATGAGATGGAATGGAAAGGGCGACTCTACAGATTCAGGAAATGATTGAACTGATTTCTGTGCTGGATCATCACAAAGATACAGAGAGAACAGAAACACAGTGAAACAAGTTTATCTTGGTATGTCAGGGTGGCTGTCTGCCGGCTGAAGCTCAGTAAAAGCTGGGTGATGCAGCAGGACAATGACCCTAAACACCAAATAAAATCTACTACAGAATGATTTAAAAAAATAATCCACCATAAAAACAGTATCGAAACTGTCGAGGGATCACAGTGGCTAGACGGAGACACAGGCCTCAAACCCTGCTGAAAGAATTTACCGTTTACCACGCTGACGTAAAATAATAACACACTAAGTTATATCGACATAGTTCTTGCCTAAATGTGCAAATTTAAATATAGTGTTGAGGTAATATATTTTATTTTATATTTCAAAACAATTTTAATCACAAAAATTGTTTTTTTAGCTTGTGTGCAAAAGTTTGGGCACCCCGCTTAACAAATCCCTGATGCTCAATTTATTGTTTATTTTTGAACATTTTATATTTGATATCTTCCTTTTTATATAAATAAAAGCAAATAGTATGAAACTGTGCAGTAAAATTTGTCGTAACTTGTCATATTTAAGTTTGTCCCCTTTGGAAAATTAACAAAAACCTGTAATTTGATTAGGATTGTTCAAAATGTTGCATCTGAATGCATGTCGCTGCTGTTGGAACAAAACCTTGTCTCTCCAAAAAGGTAATTTTACAGGACAAAGAAAAACATTCGTAACTTGTAATGGAAGTAAATAGATAAAAAATCTTTTCCAAGTAATTTTTGATCATTTCTTTTGGGCCGTTCATCATGAAATTTTGACACATCATAAAGGGCAACTGGCCTTTTCAAATTACGAGATACGAGGTTTTGTCCCGACAGCAGTGATATGTTTGAGAAGACGCAATGCAAATAGTGCTATTCTGCACTCACAGTCTGCATTGTGTATTTATGTAGAAACACGACAAGAGAAATGTGCTATTTGCCTAACGATGTCCAGTCTGGGAGCAGCACAGCGTCTATAGCCACATCGTTTCCCAAATTCTGTATTCTGAGCTGCACTGTTGCTAATTCACTAGACAAAATTGCATCATTCATTTAAAATATAGAAGTAAAATATGAAGACAACACAAGCAGGGATATTGTTTGTGTGTGTATGTATGTGCGAGTGTGTTTATGGGTGTGCTTTTTTTATCACACATCACCGTTCTTTTCAGGAATACTCAGATTCTCATTATAAGAGGTGTGCGTAGAAACGTCATAATCAGCATTTTTCCACAGCACTTTGGGAATGATGACATGCCTGCCTTCCATTTATCACAGCTTAGGTTCATCATCAGCCAATCAGGACACAGAAGCTTTCGCAGTGGACCAATGGGAGCTGAGATCAAGCTGTCTGAATTTATATTGTGACTGATTTGTGATCTTTTTTGATGATGGTGCGTTGGAATAGTCCTGTGTCATCGTCAGAGCTTTGGGGGGTGTGTGTGTGTGTGTGTGTGTGGGTGTGTGTGTGTGTGTGTGTGTGTGTGTGTACATTTCTGACCGGTCTTCGTTGCTTTCTCTCTCCAAGCTTCCATAGTGACGGTCATTCGATTGGTCAATGACGCAGTCGACACAATCGAAAATGAAGGTACTCACCACCACCTGTTGGATTACTGACCAGTTTCACCCTCACACACTTTACACACTCCTCTTCTTTCACACACATACACACACACACACTCACACACTCACACACACACACACACTTGGTGTGTGAAACAGAGTATTCCAGATTACGTTTCAGCTGTTTAGTCTAGACTGTGTGCAGAGATAGAGTGAGTTTATGTGTGTGTGGAGCGTCAAACACCTACCTTGTACTTCCACTAACTGGCCACTTTATTAGAAACACCCCCATTGTACTTCCACTAACTGGCCACTTTATTAGAAACACCCACCTCGTACTTCCACTAACTGGCCACTTTATTAGAAACACCCACACTGTACTTCCACTAACTGGCCACTTTATTAGAAACACCCACCTCGTACTTCCGCTAACTGGCCACTTCATTAGAAACACCAACCTTGTACTTCCACTAACTGGCCACTTTATTAGAAACACCCACCTTGAACTTCTACTAACTGGCCACTTTATTAGAAACACCCACCTTGTACTTTCACTAATTGGCCACTTTATTAGAAACACCCACCTTGTACTTCCATTAACTGGCCACTTTATTAGAAACACCCACCTTGTACTTTCACTAACTGGCCACTTTATTAGAAACACCTACCAAGGTGGACCTGCAAGGGAGAGGTTTCTAATAAAGTGACCAGTGGTCAGTGGATGGTCAGCGTAGCTCCTAGCAGGAAGGCAGAACTTTTGCGTGTGTGCCGATTCTTTTTCAAGCGTAACAATCAAAGCTCTATAATGTGCAGTGCTGCAGTTTGCAATTTCTGAGCGTTAGTTGAGATTAATTTGGGTGTCAAACTGAATTATGAGCACTGTAGGGATTGAGCGCCGCACAGTCTGGGCTTAATCTGTGTGAGGAAAAACCCGAGCCAATTTCATGGTGTCTAAACCGGAGATCATCAGCGCTGACGAAACGGGAAAAGGAGAAGCGACTCCAGTCGGAGCCTCTGCAGACGGACAAACAGGAGAAAAGCATCAGCTGACACGTTATTTATTTATCCGTGTGAGGAGCTGGTCTGACTCAGCTTTTCTTTGTCGACCCAGACAGTGACGTAGTGTTACGCTGCACTGGCAGCATTGCAGCCACCAGTTTTTCAAAATTCCCCCATAATTCAGTGTGTGAGATGTAAACAGAGAGATTCAGAGTGGTTTGGTGTAACATAGTTCAGATGTCTTTACAGTGGTGGTGATGGGAACCAGGGGTCACCATGACTACAACACAAATATAGACATTTTATTTACTATCCAGAACCACCAGTGAACCTACATGAGTCTTCTGAGTTTATATGGAATGTTGATGATGGAAAATAGTGGAAAATCTGAAATAATAAGTTTTCTTTGGGGACTATTTTGCCTCACAGCGCCCTGCATGTATCCCTCCACCATGAATGGATTTTAAGGCCAAAATCTTCTCAAAACTATCATAAAACAGTGTCTCAGTCATCAGGCAGTAAATTCATAACCATTTCCTGTAGTAACTTTCTGTGAGGGAGCTTTTAGAGGTGGACGTCTGGTTCCTATCACCACCACTGTGAACAATTCAGACAACTCTGATGGAGTGGTTCATCCCAAACCGCTTATTTGCACTGAAATTTTGAAAAATTTTGAATCTTGCATTCAGCCCAGCTACGAAATCGCATAAAGTTGCACAATGTTTACAGTCAGCATGAATATAAATTTTGTTGCTACCATTTAAAAGTATGGAATGAATATACAATATACAATGCGTTTAACACCGTCGTTCTTGCGCAAAAACTTTTTACCTTCATTTTTGGCATAATTTGAAAACTCTGCTTACTCTTTGCTTTGTGTTTTATGACGAATGGATCAACATAAATGATCCAAAATATTTTGAAAAAAAGTCTGGTTACATTAACCTCCATTAACAGTTGAGGATGTTTTTCCTTCTCCTGTAAAGTTACCATTTTGGAGATGTGAGGTTTTTCCTGACAGCAGTGATGCTTCAATTTTAGTGCTGTCACTAAGTTAACGTGCAGTGAACAGTAATGCTACAATTTTTTTTTAACGCCGTTCATTTTTCTTCCTTAGTAGTGCAGGCTGAAGCCTGATAGAATCCGCTCTCATTCAAATACAGCTTTTTTCAACTGCTTTAATAGCAATTCTTTCCACATTGCCTTTGGAAATCATGATTTTCATTACAGATTTGATGAAAATAACATTATTTATTAATTGAAAGTGGCAAATGAATTCTTATGAAGCTTATTATGTCCACTCATACAGACTTGACATAGTGCACTGCTTTTAAAATGGAAAAAAATATATATATTTCAGGTCAAATTAGTGCAAATAAGACAATAAATAATGCAATACATTATTGTAACAGAACAGATACATTTAAAAAATGATTTTAAGATGCTAACCCTGTTATAACACATAATAACTAGTTTGAAGCTTTGGAAACATGATGTCATTATCAACAGTAGCGAACAAACAGACTGAGAAACATTGTTGCGAATTCTAGGATGAAAAACAAAGCACATCGCTGAAAGGACTGAAGGTTGGCTGTACATGTATATTCCGAGCAGAGCTTTTGTTTTCCATTATCTCCACTTCCAGGCTGTAGTGTATCCGAAGGCTGTTTAGCCATTTATGGTTCTGTTAGCGTTGTGGTGGTTTTGATGTTTAAGTAAAATCTGTTATGGTTCCACAGTGTCTAGTCTAAAATCTCGACACATATCAGTACATCAGAGTTTCAGAGACACAGGAGGCTCTCAGTGCAGTTGAATACAGGTTCTGCACTACACTGTTAGAGTGCATTGTGCATGTCTGAGAGCTGTAGTCTGTGTGTAAGACCGATGCGTCATGTTTATTGCTACTTTTTTAAAGGTCAGAGAGGTCAAATGGGCCATAATCTCTGAGGAAAGGACCCTCACATACACACAAAATAGCCTGCTGCTTTGATTAGGGTTTGCACAACTTCAGAAATTGACAGTTATGTGAGGAAAGTCAAGTTGACGTCAACTGATCACCGATGTCATGAAATGAAACCACAGCAGAAGGGAAGGCTTTGCAACAAGCGACTTTAAAAATCCAACTTTAAAAATCTGTCTACTCCACAGTAGAGCATGACGTGGTGTTTCCAGCGAGCCGTGGATCACACTGCTAGCCTTCAGGGAACCGGAGATACGAACCCTGGAATTTTGCAAATTTGTATCCAATTTAGGCGCACCTTAGGCGACCTTGCCAAGACTCTCACCTGCCCTGGAGGTTTGGAGAGCCAGAGAAATTTAGAGTGCTGGCAAAAATAATAATACATGATTTCAAATTTACAAGATTATATGCCCCCTCTTCAACCAAACAGGACTTTTTATTGTAGTCTTCGGGAAACTGGAGACAACAACGTCCAATAACTAATATTCGAAGCACTGTAGAACGGCGAAGAAACGTTAGAATGAAGCCAAACTCCACAGGTCAGTAGCGTGCAACATGCCCTTTCCAACGAGCCCTGGATCGCATTGCTAGCCTTTGGGAAACCAGAGATACGGACCAGGCTCCTCATCTGTTGTCTTGTCCGAGGTGTCCCTGTTGTTAGTGTCATAATCACGTGATCACTGGCTCGACATTAAGCTTAAAGCGTCATCGCTGAGCAGTAAAGTCGACAAATCATCTAGTTGACTAGTCTGTGCAAGCCCTATTGCAGATTAAGCTAGATATTAGAAAGCTAGCTGTAGTGGCAGACCATGATTATTAGAACTAGGTCTTCATTTGGGCCACTAAATATCAAACCTCAGTCAAAAGCAAGATTGTGATTGGGTTTTCTAAAAGTACGTATAAAACATTATGGGGACTCACATATGAAGTAGATAACGTTGGATATATTAGATGGAAAGTGAACAGTCAGTTGTCGTAGTGGACATGTTGGAAGCAGGAGACATGGGCAGGCATGAAGACCTGAGCAACTTCGATGAGGGATGTTATAGTCAGACAACTGGGTCAGAGCATCTCCAAAACAGTAAGGCTTGTGGTGACATCGGTCAGCAGTAGTGAGTACCTACTGACAGTGGACCAAAGAGGGACAAACCTTGATTCGATGACAAGGTTTTGGGTGCCCGAGGCTCATTGATGCCGTCTGGTAGGAACCGACAGAAAGGGCTACTGTGGCACAATTCACAGATTTTTTTAATGAGGGTTATGGGGGCAATATGTCAATACAGGACCCTGCTGTGTATGGGGCTGTGCAGCTGCAGATCGGTGACAGTGCCCATGCTAACCCTTGTCCACCTCCTAAAGCACCTACAATGGTCATACGAGTGTCAGAACTGGACCCTGGAGCGATGGAAGATCACCTGGTCTGATGAGTCCTGCTTTCTTTTACATCATGAACATTAACAGCTAGGTACAGGTGCGGTGTTTACCCGGGGAGGTGACGGACCAGGATGTACTGTGGGAAGAAGACAAGCTGGTGGAGGGACTGTGATGCTGTGGGCAACATTCTGCTGGAAAACCCTGGGTCAGCACATTCATATGGACATCAATTTGACAAATGCCACGTACCTAAGCATCATTCCAGACCAGGTACAACCTTCATAGCGACAGTATTCCCTGATCACAGTGGCCTCTTTCAGCAGGATTACACGTTCTTCAGGAATGGTTTGAGGAACATGACGAAAAGTTTGAGGTGTTGCCCTGGCCTCTAAATTCCCCAGACCTCAGTCTGATCAAGCACGTGTGAGATGTGCTGGAATAACAAGTCTGATCTATGGACGCTCCACCTCACAACTTACAGGACTTAAAGGATCTGCTGCTAACGTCTTGGTGCCAGATACCACAGAGCACCTTCAGAGGTCTTGTAGAGTCCATGCCTCAGCAGGTCAGAGCTGTTTTGACCAACAGCATATTAGGCAGGTGGTCCTAATGTTTTGGCTCATGTGTATGTTTGTATAGAAAGCAGACTCAAAAAAAGTGAGTTAAGTGCCTTAAATACACGTACACACACAATCTTGTTTCTGAGAGTTGTGGGGACTTTGCATAGACTTCCATTTACTTTTCTGAGACTTACCCAAACCTTAACCAGAACTACTACTAGCCTAACACAAACCCTAACCCTAACCCTAATTCTATCCCTAACCTTACCCTCACCTTAAAATTGAATGATTTATGTTATGAGGACCAGCTTGTGGTCCCCACGAGGAAGAAAGGTCCCCATAACATAGTTTATAAACATGTTTTGGTCCCCACTATGTGGCATAAACACAAAAAAACACATACATATACAAACCACACACAAACAACACTTGCACACACACACAAACACAATCTTGTTTCTGTGAATTGTGGGGTCTTCACTTAGACTTCCATTCATTCTCCTGAGAACCCAGCTTGTGGTCCCCATGAGGAAGAAACACACGACACAACATAGTGTATGAACAGGTTTAGTCCCCACAATGTGGCATAAACCTGGTCCACACACACACACACACACACACACACACACACACACACCACCCATACACAAACAATCTTGTTTCTGTGAATTGTGGGAACTTTACATAGACTTCCATAAATTTTTCTGAGACTTACCCCAGCTTGTGGTCCCCATTAGGAAGAAAGGTCCCCATAACATAGTGTAAGAACAGGTTTTAGTCCCCACAATGTGGCATAAACCTGGTCCGCACACACACACATTTACACACCACACATACACAACACACACCACATATACACACATACAGACGCATCACACACACAGTGCTGAGTGGTGCAATAGATATTGCGCTGATCCACAGCTCTGTTTGTCTCCTCTGACTGCCAGTTTCCGTTATGGACCAAGGTCAGACCTACAGCCGAGGTGAATGTCTCTCTCTCTCTCTCTCTCTTTCCTCTTCCCTCTGTATTGCTGACAGAATGTGCTGCTGCATTCTGGGAAATGTCACATCATCCAGCAGGCAGATGCTCTTTGTTCACCCCCCCAACACTCACACAGTACCTGCTCTCTCTCGCTCTCTCTCTCTCTCTCTCTCTCTCTCTCTCTCGCTGACTCTGTGCTTTTCCTGTTGTTTGATTGTTGTTTGATTGTTCTGGATGTTCTCTGACGGTCAGGATTAGTGTGTGCGTCACTGCGCTTCTGTGTTCCACACATTGCTGCATGTCCTGCATTACGCTCTATATGTCCAAAAGTATGTGGGGACTTCTCAAATGAAGGGTGTTCATAGGGAGTTTGTCCTCTTGTGCTGCAGTGACTTTGAGCATTAGTGAGGTCAGGTACTGATGTTGGGTGGTCAGTTCTGGATCACTCCAACTCATCCCAAAGGTATTAGATGGAGCTCTATCACTCCAGAGAACACCCACCAATGCTGGGGGGCTTTAGACCCCTTTGGCCCACGGTTGACATTGGGCCTAGTGACCTTAGGCTCCAGCTGCTCCAGAGCATCCCATTTTATTGGTTAATGCTTTTCTAGGGAGATTATATAAGCTGTATAAGCACAATTGAAGGGGAATTCCACTTCATAGTTAATAGGTTAAGATGTAAACAAAGTCATTTAGAGTGGTTCTAGAATGCTCTATTCTAGAGAAATGTGGGAAGTGATAGTAACCAGACATCCAAAGTCACCCCACATGGTTATGAATACGCTGCCTGAAATCTGAGACGTTGTTTTATGATGTAAAATGTATTTTGCTTAATGATAGTTTTACAATTTTTAATCCAAAATATATATTTTTATTCCATTTATGATTTAGGGATACATGCAGGGTGTTAAAAGGCAAAATAGCCCCCCCCCCCCAAAAAAAATTTAACCCATTTCACATCAGAATAACTCTGAATTACGCAGAAATTCTGAAAATTTGGTGGAATTCCCCTTTAAACTAGCTGAATTCTAATTAGAAGGGCTGTCTGAATACTTTTGGACATATATTGTATATTTTGTTTACTTTTGCTGGAACAATCGTCCTTCCCTCTGACCTCATGGCTGCACGTTATTGACCACTGCATGCTTTGTTTTGTTCCCAAACAGCATGTGCATCCTGAGGACCCCCATATGTGTGTGTATGTACGTTGCCCTTGGACCCCCTGTCCTCCATTTCATGACCCTCGCTAACTTTCTGTTTTTGCGTCCACAGCGTACCACTGGGACACTTCTGATTGGCTGCCCAGCACCCGGCTGCCGGACATCGAGGAGGTGCCCACCTATGAGGGCGGAGAAGTGGGTGTGGCCTTGGAGTCGGACTATTACCTGGGCGGCTTCGACATCGACAGCGATTACCCGCCCCCTCAGGAGGCGGAGTTTATGTCCCAGGAACAGTTGGCGCCGCCCCTTCCCGCCGAAGACTACGATGATGCATCTGCCAGCCGACCCGTGTCCAGGGAGGCCACGCTCAGGCCTCGCCCACACTTCCACCCCAGCCAGTACCTGCCTCCACATCAGCTGCCTCTGGGGCCTGGAGGGGAGGCGGAGTTTAGCACTTTTGTGGGCGGAGTCGAGCGGCTGTCAATCAATACGTCCTCTTCGGCCTCGGACGACTCCGCCCACTGCGTTTTCACGCATTCGGAGACGGGGGGGAGTCTGGACAGTCTGGACGATGCACAGATGCACCCACACACGCAACAGACTGAGGTGTGATTTGCAGCGAACTGGACACTCGCTGACCACAGCAAACTCTCTGAGCTGCAAAAGATGGGCGTACGAGTCCGGAACAGCCTGTAAAGACAGAATGACAAACAAAACAAGCACACAAACTGACCAATGGAGTTACCGCAAGTCTCTCATAGACAGGGCAGACAGAAACCTGCAAAGTTTATCCTATTTTTGTTTGTTTGTTTGTTTTTTGGGTAAACTTTGCTCACTGACCACTGAACGCTGCTGCCCAGAGTGTGTGTACCTGTGGTGTGTGTGTGTTCATGTTCAGAAGTTAACTTAAACAGCACAAACGTCATCGTCCTCATACTTGGTCAGTTCAAAAATTCCTTAAGGGAAGCTAATTTCTGAAGCTCGTACCAGACATTAGCGCATATTTGCATCTATCAGTTTCAGTAAAGAGTTCTACCACCACTGTTTTCCATTCCTTACAACTAACCCAAACCTGGCTCGTACTCACAGTCAGTTATCTAGAACTTCCAGAAGGACTAGAGTGATTTTTACATGCATCATAAATCAGAATATGATTGGTTGATTCCTAGTTATGTAGGTAGCTAATCTAACTTGTAAGGCCTTCTGTTCAGCTCCTAAAGCCCTAACCAATGAAAAGAGCTCACTTGACAGTATCTATCAGAGAAAACCATCCTGATTGGATACATTTTCCTTCAGGCAAACCACGATTTTAATCCTTTTGTTTACAACCAAAGTTAAAAATATGAAATGCAAGTATTACCACAAGACAGGCATGATGGTTCTATTAATAATAAGTGACCTAAACGTTCTAGACACGTATTTTCCCAGAATTTATTGGGCCTCCGCAGGCTTAGAAGACGTCGTAAGTTCCCTGTTGCATGTAATGTCTCCTCTTTGACTTAAGAACACCAGGAACAACTGAAAGTTTGGAATCTGCACGTTCCACACGACTTCCCGGCTCTGTTCACGGAGCTACGAGGCAGAAATAATTCATATATACGATTACAGATGATTCTGTTATTGCTGACGGTAACGGAGGCATCCGAGGGTTAAACTGAGCTTCTTATTGTCAGTGTTTTATTGCTTTGTGTGTGTTTTTCACTAAAATGCCAGATCTTTTCCTGAAAATGCTATTATGTCATATTTAGACCACTAAACTGATAGATCTCTCTCTCTCTCTCTCTCTCTCTCTCTCTTTCTTTTTCTCTCTTCCCCCCTTTCACTTTCTTTTCTGTTTCTCTCTTTCACTCCTTTTCCTTCTCTTCTCTATCTCTGTTCCTGCCCCTTCTTTCTTCTCTCCTCTTTGCTCGTTCTCTCTCTACCCTGCTCTTCTCTCTCTCTCTCTCTCTTTCTCTCTCTTTCTCTCTCTCCCTCTTTTCTTTGTTTCTTTCCTTTCCTTTTTCACCCCTTCTCTTTCTCTCCTCTTTCAACACTTTCTCTCCCCTCTCTCTACCCTTCTCTTCTTTCTCTCTCCCCCTCTTTCTCTCTCTCTCTCCCTCTGTCTTTCTCTCCCCGTTTTCTTTTCTGTTTCTCTTCTCTTTCATCCCTTTTCTCTCTGTTCTCCCCCTTTCCTCTCCTCTTTCTTCACTTTCACCACTTTCTCTTTTTTCCCTCTTCCTTCCCCTTCTCTCTCTTTATCTCTACCCTCCTCTTTCTCTCTATCTCTGTTCTCTCACCTTCTTTCTTTCTTTCTCCCTCTCCACCTCCCTTTTTTGTCCTTTTTTTTGTTAAGTTTCCTCTCTCTCTCTCTCTCTCTCTCTCTCTCTCTCTCTCTCTCTCTCCTGCAGAGTGAATCATTACTCTGTCTAACTGTTTCCCGACAAATAGCATGATTCTTCAAACTGTCCAGGATCATTTAGTTGCTGTGTGTTGTGTGTGTGTGTGTGTGTGTGTGTGTGTGTGTGTGTGTGTGTGTAGAGGGGCAGCGTGAGTTCGTGTGTCAGTGCGATATTCAGATATTGTCTCCATTCATCTCGCGCTGCGTTTGTTTTGTTGTGTTTTCTTGTATCAATGAGTTTGGGGAGGTAGGTGTGTATCAGAGAGTCATATCAGCCGAGAGGTCAGAGAGCAGCCGTTTACACACACACACACACACACACACACACACACACACACACACACACACACACACACACACACTGCTGCTCCGACAGACCAGGACGTTTGAATCTGCCATCCAAGACTGGCAGAGAGAGAGTGAGAGTTAAAGGATAAAGGACAAAAAGGAAGCACATTGTTGCTGTCTTAAGAAAGAAACAAAGAAGAAGAAAAGAAACCCGCCTAAACTTTCATGTACGTACAGGGGAATTCCACCAATTTTTCAAAATTTCTCCTTAAGTTAATATTAGGTTCGACAAAGTTCGTTCAGAGTGGTTTGGTGTGAAATACTCCATTTCATTTACAGAGTCAGAACTGTTCACAGTGGTGGTGATAGGAACCAGACGTCCACCTCTAAAAGCTCCCTGATAGAAAGTTACTACTGGCTTAAAACGTATGTTTCCCAAATATTCATGATGGAGATTTACATGCATTACTATTTCAGATTTTCCACTATTTTCCATCATCAACAAGACTCGTGTAGGTTCACTGGTGGTTTTGGATAGTAAATAAAATGTCTATATTTGTGTTGTAGTCATGGCGACCCCCGGTTCCTATCACGACCTGAATCTGAGTTTCTACAACCATTTCACATAAATGATCATTTACGTCTCAAGATGCAGAAATGACTAAAAATTGGTGGAAATCCCCTTCAGTGTAATGAGATTTTATCACAAGCGATTTTGGACTATTGTTATTTGTCCATCCATCCTGAAATGTTCACACTTTGCATTTTCCATAAACATAAAAAACAAGTTACGAGGTTTTCACATAAAAGCGACAAAAAGCAAGTTTGAGAGGGAAATGCCATGTCAGAAAACTGATGCTGTAGTGGAGAAGAGAAAGTAGGAGAAAGCTGTGCAGCCCAGTTCTTGAGTTTTTAAACGTTTGGACACACCTACTCTCCATTTTTACCATTTTTCACTTTTTAGAAGTCATCAAAACTATAACACTCCATTCAGAAATGTTGGCCTTCTGACAAATAGAGCTGTTTGGACCCCACCTACCAACAGCACACCTGATTGGATCAAAGTCATTCCACTAATCAGCTTTTAACAAGGCACACATAGTAATTAGGATGATGTACTGAATATAATGACATTTTCAATACTTTCCAATTGTAAATTTTTGCTAAAATTCTAAGTAAAGTCTCCTTGGTTAGAGAGCATTTAAAAATGTACTTTTTACATACAAACGGCTTGTTTTGGAAGTAAATTTACACATAAACATCAACCACTATTTGCAAATGGACATAAAAATATGGGATTATGCAGTGACTGAAAATGTGTTAAATCAAAAATCTTGAGATATTAGCTTTGGAAAGAAATTACAATGTAGGCTTCGCTGGTTGTCTTTGAAACAAATTTTAAGATTTTAAACATTTTAGCATTTTGATCAATATGTCTTTAAAACACAGAAAAACACATTCATTTAAGTGGGTTGAATAATTTAAAACTATAACCCTCAGAAATGTTGTCCTTCTGCCAAATACAGCTATTTAGACTATGTCTACCAATAACACACCTGATTGGCTTTCATTTCTATGAGCACCTTTAACCAGGTGCACATAGTAATTAGGATGATGTACTAAATATAATAGACATTTTCAACACTTTCCAATTATAAAATTCAGCTAAAATTCTATGGTAAAGTTACTTGATCAGAGCACATTTAAAACAGATTTTTTTACAATCAAATTATTTGTTTTAGAAGTAAATGTATGCATAAACATCAATCAACTACCATTTCCGAATGGGATTAAAATCTGAAATAAAAAGTGTGATTTTGCAGTGACCAAAAATGTGTTAAATCAAAAAATCTTTTTGAGATATGAATTTTGGAAAGAAGTTACTATAGGCTTCACTGTTTGACAAATGCATGACAATGCATTAACAAGGACACACATTCCACTAATTAACCTTTAAGAAGGAACACATAGTAGTGTGGAAGGTGTACTGAACATGATATTTTCAAAATTTTCCAGTTGTAAAAGTGAAACCTACTTGATGGAAGTGCATTACAAAAAAAAAATCATATTAATTTTTTTTTGTTTTGGAAGTAAATGTATACACTTTTTCAACATTTTCCAGTTGTAAAATTTTGCAAAAAATGTAAGTGAAAGCTACTTGATGGAAGTGCTTTACAAAAAAAAATGTTTTTACATTCAGTTTTTTAGTTTTGGAAGTAAATGTAAACATAAGTATCTCCCACATTATTTGCCTATGGAATTAAACATTGAAATAATGCATATGGGGCTCTGCAGTGACCAAAAATATCAAAGATAGTTTAAGAAAGAAATTGTTATGTAGGCTTCACATTTCAGGCTTTTTAACATTAGCATTTAGATGAAAATATCTTTAAAATGATAAACACATGTTCATTCATTTGGGTCCAAACTTTTGGAGTGATTTCTGTCTGTCTGTTCTGTCTGGAGACGTTTGTTTTGCGAGATGTAAGTTTGAGTTCTAAATTGTTTTTGTACAGTGTAAATAGCTATAGGTTGTTCAAATGCAGATTTTGTAGATATTGAATTGCGGTGATTGCAGGGGTTCAGAATTTGGGAACAGTTGGTCAAAAATCTCTCGCACACACATACTTGAGTATGTGGCCATACTTTGTAACACTCACACATACACACACTCGTCTGGGCTCGCCAGCTGTGTGTATCACGACGTTTTATGTTGTTTTGTTGCTGTTTTTCATTTTGTTGTTTTGTTTTTTTTTATCTCTGTAGAATAGCTGAGGTTTTTCATCATATCTGCTTCAATTTGTTTTCTTCATCTTGTGCATTGAAGAAAAGAATCAGTCTGGACTTTCTGCTTTCTCGCTGCAGAGAAAATGTTTTTCTTTTTTATTCCTCCCTCTTTTTATTTTGTTCTGTCCATCTTGTCAGTATTAAAGTGGCTCTAATCTAAAATGAAGTGTATAAAAATGCCTTTTTTTAACTGCTGATTTTTGTTTTTTAATCAATGCCAAAATTAAAAATAATCTTGATGAAGTTAAATATGTGTTTTATGTCTATGAGTGTGTGTGTGTGTGTGTGTGTGTGTGTGTGTGTGTGTGTGTTTATATATATTCTCTGTGGTCCAGGATGATGAAGCAGGACTGCTGCAGCCCTTCATAAATGTCTTTACACTACATTCTTAAACAAAGATGGTCCTTCAAGGGTTCTCTAATAAAGGGAATGGTTCTATTTAGAACCATGAGTTCTGTATACAACCATTTCTTTTTTAAATGGTTCTTTGCATTGTGAATTAGTTCTTGAGACTGAAGGAGAATGTGTTGTATATGGTTCTATATAGAACCTTGTTGAAAATTATTCCAAAAAAGGTTTTTTCCTATTGTTACAAGCTTGGCACTGTAACAATAGAAGAGCCCTTTTTGGTGCTATGTGTAACCCTTTTCAAAAAGGTTCTATACAGAACCATATACAATACGTTCTCCATCAATACAAACAACTAATTAATGATGCAAAGCATGCAAATGGTTCTTTGAGTGTTCATAGTTCTAAATAGAACCTTTCCCTTCACTAAAGAACCCTTGAATAACCACCTTTTTAAAGAGTGTACTGCATAAATGTTTCAAATCATGTATAATAATCAGATAATCAATTATTATATAACAATTGTTCATTTTTAATATATCTAGCTATATAGCGCCAAAAGGGTTCTGCTATTGTTATGATCTCAAGCATGTAACTATTGCAGAATGCTTTTTGATGCTATGATGAACCATGTACAACACATTCTCCATCAGTCTGAAGAACCATTTCACCATGCAAAGAACCATTTAAGCATGCAAATTCATAGTTCTATATAGAACCAGTCTTTACTAAAGAACCCTTGAAGAACCATCTTTTTTTAAGAGTGTACTTGAACTAACATCCTGAAATGTTTTCAGATGTGAGTTGGTATATATTTTAGAAGAAGAGATGATCGATAGAAGCTGCTAAAACACCTCAGGAAATGTTTATAATCAGACCTTATGT